CACCCACCAAGCCATGCCCACAGAACCGGTAGGGAAAAATGTTGGATTTCACCCCTGCTGGAAAGGGTTATATGCGTGCCCGGTCTTCACCCAGAATGCTCTAGGAACTTACTGGGTTCTTACGTAAATAGCCAGGTTGATGGTTATGAGTCTTATTTTGGACTCTTCCAAAATTTATATGCCGAATTCACAGAATTGGGGAAGGGGAGTATTGAATGGGTTTCGCCTGTTTGTAGACCAGCATATTTGAATTTTTTTTTTTTGCAAAGAACGGACTCCAAATGGTGTTAAACCAGTGGTGAAATCCAATTTTTTTTACTACCGGTTCTGTGGGCGTGGCTTGGGTGTGGTGTGACTTGGTGGGCGTAGCAGGGGAACGATACTGCAAAATCTCCATTCTCACCCCACTCCAGGGAAAGGATACTACAAAATCCCCATTCCCACCCTACCCCAGGGGAAGGATACTGCAAAATCCCCATTCCTGGGGGAAGGATATTGCAAAATCTCCATTCCCACCCCACTCTGGGGCCAGCCAGAGGTGGTATTTGCCAGTTCTCCGAACTACTCAAAATTTCCGCTACCGATTCTCCAGAACCTACTGAATTTCACCCCTGTGTTAAACTACGTTTCCCAGCAACCTCAGCCATTGTGACTAAGAGTAAGCGATGCTGGAAGTTGTAGTCCTTTGAAACGGATTCTCTGCCTCTCCAAAGCAGATTATTTCCTAATTCCAGGAATAAGTTTTCTTTTCCCACTTTTTGTCCTGCAAGGAAAGTTATTTGGGTTTTTCCTTTTTTTTCAAAGTATAATACACTGTTATCCTAAATTGAGCTAGCAGTAAGTGGTTTATTGGAATTTGGGATTGTTAACCTACAGTGTTCCTGAAGTAATAGCAATAGCAATAACACTTATAAGACGCTTTACCGTGCTTCACAGCCCTCTCTAAGCGGTTTACAGAGTCAGCCTCTTGCCCCCAACAATCTGGGTCCTCATTTTAACAACCTCGGAAGGACAGAAGGCCGAGTCAACCTTGAGCTGGTCAGGATCGAATTTCTGGCAGTGAACAGAGTTTAGCCTGCAACACTGCATTCTAACCACTGGATGGGGACGGAGAGAGGAAGGAAGGAAAAGGAGGGAGGGAAGGAAGGAGGAAAGAAAGAAAGGGAAGGAAGGAAGGAAAGAAAGAAAGAGAAAGAAAGAAAAGAAAGAAAAAAGAAAGAAAGAAAGAGAAAGAAAGAAAGAAGAAAGAAAGAAAGAAAGAAGAAGAAAGAAAAAGAAAGAAAGAAAGAAAGAAAGAAAGAAAAAGAAAGAAAAAAAGAAAGAAAGAAAGGGAAAATAGCAATTTCACTTAGACATATACTGCTTCGCGGTGCTTTACAGCCCTAAGCAGTTTACAGAGTCGGCCTCTTGCCCCCAAAAATCTGGGTCCTCATTTTACCCACCTCAGAAGGATGAAAGGCTGAGTCAACCTTGAGTCGGTCGGGATCGAACTGCTGGCAGTCGGCAGAATTAGCCTGCAATACTGCCTTCTAACCACTGCACCACCACCAAGTCAAACAAGGGAAGCAGATCAGTGAATTTGGGGGGGACAGGGATTTTGGATTCTTTGGGCTCTGAGGACAGAGTTTTGGGGTCCTGGCCTCCAGCGTGTCCCACAAATCAAGATCCCCTCAATTTCTTTTGTTAGGTCGGCTTCACCAGTGCCCCAGGGCAAGGAGGGATCCTGGCCCAGCGGGAATTCGACCGGAGGTTTTCACCACACTTTGTAAGTAATCTTGAGTTCACTCTGACCCTCCTAATTTCCACAACTGGGAATAACTGAGTACAGATAGTCCTCAGTTTATGACGACTGTTGAAGTTACAACAGACCTCCCTAAGGCCACTTACGACCCATAGTCAGAGTTCCAATGGCCATACTCTCACACACAATCACATTTCGAGCACTTGGCAACTGGCCCAGCTCTTTGCATTGTCCTGCATTCACATTTTTTGTTTGCTGCGGGGGGAAAAAAAACATTTATTTACGGTTTCTGGCTAAAACTGCGCTCACTTCAACATAGCAGCAATTCCCTTAAACCAACTACCCAGAGTGTCAGCACTTCAACCTGCATTTACTCTAGTGCTGACATAAGAAGGAGAAGAGGGGGCAGCTGGCAAGAGAACGCTTGACTTCTCACCTACTTATTTTCCCTGAAGATAATATCCCCTAGGAGATGAGATGGGAGGGGGGACATTCCTGGGAGCTGAAACAGTAGATATGGGGAGAGTGATTTGGAAGATGGCCAATGAGACGCAGAGAATTGGGGAATGGAAAGAGAAGGTTTGGGGTCAGGAAGTCAGTGTTGGCTACGCCACAATCGGGGACAGATTGTCATGCTTAATAAAATGAAAGAGTTCATCAAAGACTGTTTGGAAATGCAATTTATTTTATTTGAGATGACATCGAAACCTGACACAGAGAAGGTTGTAAAATTGGACATGGTCATAGGCTTAACAACTGGCATGTCATACGAGAGTTAATTTCAAGCCAGTCCTACAAACGAGATCCAATTCCAAACTGGATTCAGAGCAGATTCGCAAGCCAAGGAGGGGGTCTGTAGTCCATAAACAAGGTTCAGAGTCCACAAACGAGGTTTAGAGCAAGGGGTCCTCAAACTTTTTAAACGGGGCCAATTCACAGTCGCTCAAACTGTTTGGGGGGGGGCAGACCTGCTGGGTGGGTGTGGCTAGGTGGTCATGTGACTGGGTGGGCGTAGCCAATTTAGCAGTCCATTAAAAAATACACACAAATTAAACTTTAATTTGTTATGCTCCTGGGGGTGGAAAACAGGTTAGTGAAGGGATGTGGCTGCCGGGGTGCGTGTGTGTGTAAGGGACTTCTGTTTGTATGTGTGTGTGTGTGTGTGTCTCTCTCTCCTTCCCTCTCTCTCTCTTCTCTCTCTCTCCCCACTCTCTCTCCCCCCCTTCTCTCTCCAAGAAGAGATTGGACGGGGGGTTGGACTAGATGACCTACAACACTGATGGCGAACCTATGGGACGTGAGCTCAGCTTATTTTCAGGCCTTCTGGGCCCACTGGAAGTAGGGAAACAGGCTGTTTCCGGCCTCCGGGGGGTCTCGGAGGTGTGAGGGTGTGTGGAAGACCTGTTTTTCACTCTCCCCAGGCTCCAGAGCCTTTCTAGGAGCCTGGGGAGGGCGAAAACGGCCTTCCGGTCCCGCCAGAAGTCAGCAAACGGGATGTTTCTGGCCTCCAGAGGGCCTCCAGGGAAGGGATGGGGAAGGCCATTTTCGCCCTCCCCAGGCTCCTAGAAAGGGTCTGTGAACTTCCTTCACCTGCATCAAGAGGCTCTTTAGTTCCTCTTTACTTCCTGCCATTAGAGAGGTATTATCTGCAATATCTGAGGTTGTTGATATTTCTCTCGGCAATCTTAATTCCAAATTGTGATTCATCTAGCCCCGCCATTCTCATGAAGTGCTCTGCATACTCCTTTCCCAATTTTGAACTGTTGCTTCCTGACCCGCATATAGGTTTCTCAAGAGACAAATAAGATGGTCTGGCACTCCCATCTCTTTAAGAACTTGCCACAATTTGTTGTTTTCCAAACAATCCAAGGCTTTAGCGTAGTCAAGGAAGCAGAAGTAGATGTTTCCCTGGAACGCCTTAGCTTTCTCCATGATCCAGCGTACTGTTGGCAATTTGATCTCAAAGGCTTTGGCATAGTCAAGGAAGTAGAAGTATCGGTAGATGTTTTTCTGGAACGCCCTAGCTTTCGCCATGATCCAGCGTACTTTGGCAATTTGATCTCTAGTTCCTCTGCCTCTTCGAAATCCTGCCTGCCTGCAGTTCTGGTAGTTCTCGAGCCACATACTGCCGGAGCCTAGCTTGTCGGATTTTGAGCATAACTTTTACTAGCATGTGAAATGAGCGCAACGGTGTGGTAGTTTGAACATCCTTTGGCATTGCCTTTCTTTGGAATTGGAAAGTAAACTGACCTTTTCCAATCCTGTGGCCACTGTCGAGTTTTCCAAATTTGCTGGCAAATTGAGTGTAGGGCTTTTACTGCATCGCCTGTTAAGATTTTGAATAGCTCAGCTGGAATACCCTCACCTCCAGTAGCTTTGTTGTTGCTCAGTTTTCCTAGGGCCCATTTGCCTTCACATAGGGTGTCTAGCTGGAGGTCAGTGACCATCCCATCGTGGCTATCAGGGACGTTAAGCTCGTTCTTGTATAGTTCTCCTGTGTACTTTTGCCACTCTTCTTTAATCTCTTCTGCCTCTGTTAGGTCCCTGCCATTTTGGTCCTTTATCATGCCCATCTTTGCATGAAACGTTCCCTTCGTGTCTCCAATTTTCTTGAAGCGATCTCTGGTCCTCCCTATTCTCTGGTTTTCTTCTATTTCTTTGCACTGTTCATTTAAGAAGGCATTCTGATCTCTTCTAGCTATTCCCTGGAATTCTGCCTTCAGTTGGGTGCATCTGTCTCTTTCTCCCTTGCCTTTCGCTTCCCTTCTTTCCTCAGCTATTCGCAAAGCTTCCTCAGACAGCCACTTATCTGGAATGGTATAGGTTGGACTAGAAGACCTCAAAGGTCCCTCTCAATTCTGTTATTCTGAAGAGGAGAGCAGGGTCTCCTGTTTGAGCAGAGGGCTGGACTAGAGGACCTCCAAGGTCCCTCTCAATTCTGTTATTCTGAAGAGGAGAGCAGGGTCTCCTGTTTGAGCAGAGGGCTGGACTAGAGGACCTCCAAGGTCCCTCTCAATTCTGTTATTCTGAAGAGGAGAACAGGGTCTCCTGTTTGAGCAGAGGGCTGGACTAGAGGACCTCCAAGGTCCCTTGGAGGTGGGGAGACCCAAGGTAGTGGAGAAGGCTCAGCCGCGGGGCGGGGCTTGTCGGGAAGGGGCGTGGCCCCCGTGCAGGTGGGTGGGTCCCTCTACTATTTCTAGCCAGAGCAGATCTGGGCACTTGCGAGAACTTCGCTTCGGAGCGAGGGTTTGCAGTTTGCTTCCTTGCCTGCCAGCGCCATGGTGCCAATCCCGGCTCCCCTGTGCCTGCTCTGCGCCCTCCTGATGCTGCCCTCGGGGATGCCGGAGACCTACGGGGGTCTTTCCCCTAAGCCCGTCTCGGATCCGGGGGTGCAGGAAGCCGCCGCCTTCGCCGTGGAAGAATACAACGCGCTCAACGCACACACCCACTATTTCAAGGAATTGCGCATTGTGGATGCCCAGGTCCAGGTGTGTATTTTTTGAGGGGGGAGCTGCTGGGGGGGACACACAGTCTCCTTGGGTCTTTTTTGGAATAGCCAAAGCCCTGGGGGGGGGGGCTGTAGGTGCAATGGAAGGGAATTCGGGACTGTAGGTTCCATGGAAGGGAATTGGGGGGGGCTGTAGGAGCAATGGAAGGGAATTGGGGGGCTGTGGGTACAATGGAAGGGAACTGGGGGGGCTGTAGGAGCAATGGAAGGGAATTGGGCTGTGGGTACAATGGAAGGGAATTGGGGGGCCGTAGTTCCATGGAAGGGAATTGGGGGGCTGTAGGAGCAATGGAAGGGAATTGGGGGGCTGTAGGAGCAATAGAAGGTAATTGGAGGGGCTGTAGGAGCAATGGAAGGGAATTGGGGAATTATAGGTACAATGGAAGGGAATTGGGGGGTCTGTTGGTTCAATGGAACGAAATTGGGGGGCTGTGAGTACAAAGGAAGGGAATTGGGCTGTGGGTACAATGGCAGGGAATTGGGGGGCTGTAAGAGCAACGGAAGGGAATTGGGGGGCTGTGCATACAATGGAAGGGAATTGGGCTGTGGGTACAATGGCAGGGAATTGGGGGGGCGTAGTTCCATGGAAGGGAATTGGGGGGCTGTAGGAGCAATGGAAGGGAATTGGGGGGCTGTAGGAGCAATGGAAGGGAATTGGGGGGCTGTAGGAGCAATGGAAGATAATTGGAGGGGCTATAGGAGCAATGAAGGGAATTGGGCTGTCGGTACAATGGAAGGGAATTGTGGGGCTGTAGGTTCCATGGAACGGAATTGGGGGGCTCTGAGTACAAAGGAAGGGAATTGGGGCTGTAGGAGCAATGGAAGGGAATTGGGAATATAGGTACAATGGAAGGGAATTGGGGGGCCGTAGGTTCCATGGAACGGAATTGGGGGGCTGTGAGTACAAAGGAAGGGAATTGGGGGGCTGTAAGAGCAATGGATGGGAATTGGGGGGCTGTAGGTACAGTGGAAGGGAATTGGGGGGCTGTAGGGTCAATGGAATTGGGGGCACCAGAGGCAGTTTAGGGGAAGGTTTTGGGGGTGCTGGAGGGAGCTCAGGGGGTTTTCTATGGGAGGGACTGTTTTCGTGACCCCAAAGGACGTGATTTCGGCTGTTCGTACGTGATACAGAAATATTTCCCCTCCCATTGATTTCCTTGGGCAGGGGGGCTGGACTAGATGACCTCCAAGGTCCCTCCCAACGCCATTATTCTGAAGAGAAGGAGGAGAAGGAAAGAAGGCTCTACTCTTTGAGCATAGGGCTGGATTAGATGACCTCCAAGATCCCCTCCCGCCCTCTCCTGATTGACCAGTTGCTCAAACTCCGGGCGGGGGCGGGGCTTGTAGGGAAGGGGCGTGGCCTCCGTGCAGATGGGTGGGACCCACTACTACTCCTACTACTACTAGCCGGAGCAGATCTGGGCACCTGCGAGAACTTCGCTTCGGAGCGACGGTTGCAGTTTGCTCGCTCGGTCTGCTTCCTTGCCTGCCTGCCAAGACCCATGGTGCACTCCCAGCTGCCGATCCCGGCTCCCCTGTGCCTGCTCTGCGCCTTCCTGATGCTGCCCTCGGGGATGCCGGCAACGATCCCCGGGGGTCTTTCCCCCAAGCCCGTCTCGGATCCGGAGGTACAGGAAGCCGCCGCCTTCGCCGTGGAAGAATACAACGCGCTCAGCGCAAACTGTGGACGCCCAGTCCCAGGTGTGTGGCTTTTTGGGGGGGACAGTTGTGGGGGGACACAACAGCCTCCTTGGGTCTTTCTTGGAAGAGCCAAAGCTCTGGGGGAGGGGGGCTGTAGGAGCAATGGAAGGGAATTGGGGGGCTATAGGAGCAATGGAAGGGAATTGGGGGGCTGTGGCTACAATGGAAGGGAATTGGGGGGCTGTGGGAACAATGGAAGGGAATTGGGGGGCTGTAGGAACAATAGAAGGAAATTGGGGGGCTATAGGAGCAATGGAAGGGAATTGGGGGGCTGTAGGAGCAATGGAAGGGAATTGGGCTGTGGGAACAATGGAAGGGAATTGGGGGGCTGTGGGAACAATAGAAGGAAATTGGGGGGGCTGTAGGAACAATAGAAGGGAATTGGGGGGCTGTGGGAACAATGGAAGGGAATTGGGGGGCTGTGGGAACAATGGAAGGGAATTGGGGGGCTGTAGGAGCAATGGAAGGGAATTCGGGGGCTGTAGGAGCAATGGAAGGGAATTCGGGGGCTGTAGGAACAATAGAAGGAAATTGGGGGGCCGTAGGAGCAATGGAAGGGAATTGGGGGGCTGTAGGAGCAATGGAAGGGAATTGGGGGGCTGTAGGAGCAATGGAGGGGAATTGGGGGGCTGTAGGTTCCATGGAAGGGAATTGGGGGGCTGTAGGAACAATAGAAGGAAATTGGGGGGCTGTGACTACAATGGAAGGGAATTCGGGGACTGTAGGAACAATGGAAGAGAATTTGGGGGGCCGTAGGAACAATGGAAGGAAATTGGGGGGCTGTGGCTACAATGGAAGGGAATTCGGGGACTGTAGGTACCTTTGCTTTTAAGTTCAATCTTCCTAATTATTCTCTTATTTTTGTATAACCATATTAAGCATTCTTCTGAACACAATTGTTACATATACTTCCTATTTATTAACATCGTATTTTATCCTTACCAATATGCAAGACTCTTAGACTCCAATTAATCAAATTTCAATTTACATTCTTATTTCTTGTTTTGATTTCTATTTTCTAGCCACCTATAGAATCTATTCCACAGTTTATAGTAGTCGGAATCGTCTCTTTCTTTAATCTTCATTGTCATTTTATTCATTTTGGCACATTTGAGGATCTTCTTCTTTTTTTTTTTTTTTATTGCAAAAGTTTTACAATTGCATTTTCACCCCTTTTCCCCCCCCACCACCCCCAAACTTCCCAACCTCCCTAACCCTCCCTAACCCTCCCCTCCCCCCAGACTTCCCTATAATATACTCATAACTGGTAAAAAAAAAACACACACAAAAAAAAACCCTTAATATGACACTTATGTGTAAACTTGAACCCCTCCCTCCCCTGTATAATTTTTCTTTTTACCTCATTACATTAAAATATTTCTAATACATTATTTTCAAATAAAAGCTATTTGATACTTTCTAGTTTGATATTTGTTCTGAACATATTCTATCCACCTTTTCCATTCCCATTCATAAGTCTCTTGTGAACAATCTTTTAAGTATGCTGAAATCTTCGCCATCTCTGCAAAACTGGCCATCTTCAAAGTCCATTCTTCAATAGTGGGCAAAGCTTCATTTTTCCAATATTTACCTATCAACAATCTTGCTGCTGTTATCATATACAATATCAATTTTGTTTCACCCGATGTAAAACCCTTAACTATACCCAATAAAAACAATTGTGGAGAGAATTGAATTTTTTTCTTCAAAACATTCTGCATGACCCACCAAATTTTTATCCAAAAAGCCTTAACTTTCCTACAGGTCCACCAAACATGATAATACGTAGCATCCAAACATTCACATCTCCAACATTTTGGCTGAACATTAGGGTACATACATGACAACTTTTTGGGATCTAAATGCCATCTATAAAACATTTTATAAAAATTTTCCCTCAGGTTCTGCGACTGTGTAAATTTAACATTCTGAACCCAAATTTTTTCCCATGTTTCCAACATCACTGGTTCTTCAAAATTTTGTGCCCACTTAATCATACAATCTTTAACTAATTCAGTTTCTGAGTCCCTTTCTAGCAAAACATTATAAAGCCTTTTGATATGCATTGGACCTTTCTCTTTTATATGTCTAACCAATTCTTCCTCGTGCAACATAATACCAGTTTTTTGGTCCTCTTTCCATCTCAATTGTAATTGATTATATTGTAACCAAGTTAAGTTAATCCCTTCGTCCAACAGTGTCTGCAATGTCTTCAGCTGCCATCTGCCCGCATCTGTAAAAAGAACCTCTTTGTATAAAAACCCCCCGAGTGACATTATATTTGTATTCCACAAGTATGACCAAGATCCAGCCATAGCGGTATTTTATAATCCCATTTGAGTCGGTGCTTCTTCCAAACTCTCATCAAAGAGTCTCTAAGTATATGACTTTTAAATACTTTATCAACTTTGTCATCATAAAATAAGTAAGCATGCCATCCAAATTCAAGATCAAAACTTTCTGCATTCAGTATTTGAGGATCTTCTTAATTACTATTTCTTTAGGTGGTGTATTAATCTGTTTCCATTTTTTTTTAAATTTGATTTATATGCCGCCCTTCTCCGGAGACTCAGGGCGGCTTACAATGCATTAAGCAATAGCCTTCATCCTTTTGTATATTTATACAAAGTCAGCTTATTGCCCCCACAAACTGTGTCCTCATTTTACCTACCTTAGAAAGGATGGAAGACTGAGTCAACCTTGAGCCTGGCGAGATTCGAACCTGCAGTAATTGCAGGCATCTGGTCTTAATAACAGCTTAATAACAGGGTGCCTTAGACCACTGTACTACCAAGGCTCTTTGTGCCAGAGTAATTCTGGCCACCGTTAGTATATAACAATGTTCTGTTATTATTCTGTTATTGTTCCTCTCTAGCAATGAACTACTTCCTGGCTTGCAATCTATATCACTGAGCCTGTTCTGGGTTTTTCCCCTTGTAATTCACTTTAAGGTCACATGACCTTTTTTAAAATTGAAATTTATTATAATACAATACAATACAATGAGTCAGACAGTATTACTTTTTCACACAGGTTAGATCAATTCTTCCTTTATGTTTCATTGTTCCAGTCACATATACATATGTATATTTTAAGATACATATATGTATCTTAAAATTTGTATTAAACTTTCATCTATTTTTTATTCGGTTGTCAATCCACCTGTACCAATCATCCCACACCGTATAGTATTCCGAATCCTCTTTATCATTTAATTCTAAGGTTAATTTGTTCATTTCGGCACACTCTAAAACTTTCTGAATAATAAGTTCCTCTGGTGGTGTATCTTTTTCTTTCCAATATTGGGCGTATGCTATTCTTGCTGCAGTGAGTACATGTATAATTAAATATTTTCTTTTTTCCCCATATTTAAACTTTAGTATTCCCAGGAGAAATGTTTCAGGTACCAATTCAATTTTTTCATTAGTTGATTCTTGTAGCCAATTTTGTATTTTCCTCCAATACCTCTTCGCTTCAGGACAGCACCACCACATATGAAAGAAGGTACCTTGGTGATATCCACACTTCCAACATTTGGGGCTTACATTTGGATAGATTTTTGCTAATCTCGCAGGTGCTAAGTGCCATTTGTATAACATTTTATATTGGTTTTCTACATACGTTGCTGCTTTTGTTAATTTGTAATTTTTTTTAAAAAAATCCAGGTAGTTTCAGGATGGCTATATTATCTGACAATGGAGTTGGGGAAAACCAACTGTGAAAAGACCGGCAGCAACCGGAAGACGTATAAAGAGATCCAGAACTGTCAACTCTCTCCAAGGGCTCAGCAGGAGGTGAGATCAAATGCCAAAATCTGATTATGTATTTATTTAAGATTTCATGGACAAAAGCTACCTTGTTTTTTGAGATCAGCAGGCCCCGCTGTAAAACAAACAAGCAAACAAACAAAAAACCAGATTTAATTTATTTTCATGGATGCTTTCAGTTCAAAAGAAAGGTGAAGCTGAGCTGTAAGAAATGAGAATTGTGAATTGTGTTCACACATCATCACATAGCAAATTAATTGGGTTAGGGGTATTTTGTTTTTCCCTAGATATTTTGTGATTTCCTAACAAAGCCAAGAGAGTCCTGAGTAGCTTATGGCTCCGTTTGCTGCACGGGCTGAGCAAATGGGTCAGTAGTGGGTTAAGAGTGGCTCAAGGGGCTAAGACGCTGAGCTTGTCGATCTGAAAGGTTGGCAGTTTGGCGGTTCGAATCCCTAGAACAGGGTTGGACTAGATGACCTCCAAGGTCCCTTCCCACTCTGTTACTGTTAAAAGAGGGTTGTGTGAAGGCAGTGAACTGAGAAGAGCAGCTTCCCCACAGCTGTCAGGGCACCAGAGTGTTTTTTTTTTTAACGTTTTTTTTTAATTTTTTTCTCTTCATAACAAACATTGCATCCTTAATCAGGGTACAAACTTTTTGTGTCATCTTAATTAACACCACCATTTTCTTAATAGGGACATATACATATACATTTCAATTTAATGGCTCTCCTGTTAAAGCATTTTTCCCTTCCAAATTCATTTAATTTTTGTACCACTTTTTGTCCTTTGCCCGCCAATGATAAAATTGCCCCCGTATGTTATAAGACTCAGATTCTTCCTTCCCTTTAATGGCCAATGTTAATCTATTCATTTCGTATCTTTTCTTTTATGTACACTGAGAGCGTATGCACCAAAGACAAATTCCTTGTGTGTCCAAACACACTTGGCCAATAAAGAATTCTATTCTATTCTATTCTATTCTATTCTATTCTATTCTATTCTATTCTATTCTATTCTATTCTATTCTATTCTATCTATCTATCTACTCTACTCTACTCTATCTATCTACTCTACTCTACTCTACTCTACTCTATATTCTATTCTGCAATTCTAATATTTTCTTAATTACCTTGCCCTCTCTAGGGACTTTTTCCCGCTTTCCAATTTTGTGCAAATACAAATTCTCTCTGCAGTTATTACATGAAAAGGGGCACCGGAGTCTTGAACTGATCCTGTCCCCATGGGACCGGAGTGATGAGGGACCCCCAAAATCCATTGATGGACTTTATGGACTGGCAAAAACTTCAACACTTGCCTTGACAACTGGACAGGATTAATCTGGATGGATTATTCTTTAGGGGTTTGGTAAATTAGAAGAGGAGTTAAAAGTTGTCTCCAAGGTTTATTATGTCGCGTGAATTCAGCATCTTTGAGTCTCTATTGTTTTTCAGAGTCCCTAGGGAGTTGGGCGGCATAGAAATATGATTGATTAAATGAAATTCTGGCAAATTGGTTTTCTGTGATTCTTGGCTGGAAAAGAAAAACAAAGGAACAAGTACAGATTAGGCAAAATCCAGGGCTTCAAAAACAATAACTGTGAGGAACCTTGGAGTCTTAGTGGACGATGACTTAAATAGGAGCCAGCCAAAAAAGCGAATTACAATCCTTGATGGTATAAACAGAGGCATGGAATCAAAATGACGTGAAGTATTAGTATTGCTTTATAAAGACTTAGTAAGGCTACATCTGGAATGCTGCATCCACTTTTGGTCCCCATGTTACAAAAAAGAGGTTGAGACTTTGGAAGAAGTGCAGAGAAGAGCAATTTAAGATGATCGAAGGCCTGGAGACTAAAACATAGGAAAAACGGTTGCAGGATTTGGGTTTAGGTAGTCTAGAGAAAAGAAGGACTAGGTGTGACATGATAGCAGTCTTCCGGTAGTTGAGGGGCTGCCACAAAGAGGAGGGGGGTGTCAAATTATTCTCCAAAGCCCCGGAAGGCAGGATGAGAAACAATGGATGGAAACTAACCCAGGAGAGAAGCAACCTGGAATTAAGGAGAAACTTCCTAACAGTGAGGACAATTAACCAGTGGAACAGCTTGCCACCAGAAGTTGTGGTTTCTTCAACCCTGGAGGTTTTTAAGAGACAGGGCAGGACATTTGTCTAACATGGTCTAGGGTCTTCTGCCTGAGCAAGGGGTTGGACTAGAAGACCTCCAAGGTCCCTTTTCCAACTCTACTCTGACTGGTGACTCTCAGCTGCAGCCAGACCTTATCTCACAGCAGCTGCTCCATTTGGGAAGGGCCTCCACCACACGGTCTGTGTGGGCCCATCAACGGGCCACTTCCACAAATATTTTGGCCACTGAGTAATGATCTTAAGATCGGGTGGAGCCGGATGGATCTGTTTTATCGGTTACTCGACTTGTCAAAATAAGGCCGGGTGTAGACACCGAACATTCAGAGGCCAAAAATGTCACAAGTTTGGCTCCTTCCTGCATTTAAAAGATTGTTCATCCTCCATGGCCTTTTTAATTCTGATGACTAACCTGCCACTCATCTCAAAATCATGTAAATAGGTGGGACATAACGGTGGGCACACGAGCGTTGCCCTAGCTCAGCTCCGGCACGCATGTGTGCACCGGCCAGCTGATTTTCGGGCCTTCCGGGCCCACCGGAAGTTGGGAAACAAGCTGTTCCTGACTTCCGGAGGGCCTCCGGGGGGGAGGGGGGAGGCCCGTTTTTCGCTCTCCCCAGGCTCCAGAGGCTTTCTAGGATCATGGGGAGGGCAAAAACGGTTTTCCCCACCTACCGGAGGCCAGAAACAGCCCATTTGCCAACTTCCGGTGGGACCGGAAGGCTCATTTTTCACTCTCCCAGGCTCCAGAGGCTTTCTATGAGCCTGGGGAGGGTGAAAACAGCCTTCCCCACTCCCCGAGGCCCTCCGGAGGCCGGAAACAGCCCATTTGCTGACTTCCGGGGGACCCAAGGGCCTGTTTTTCACTCTCCCCGGGCTCCAGAGGCTTTCTAGGAGCGTGAAAACAGCCTTTCCTCCACCCACCCAGCCCGCCCCTGGGAGGTTCTGGAGCCTGGGGAGGGCGAAAGAAAGCGAAAGAAAAAGAAAAAAGGGCCCCCCAGGCCCATCATGCCATCATGTGCCAAAAGCGGGGGTCATTCAGGGGTGCAGGGCGCACTGAATTATGGGTGTGGGCATGCGTGCACAACCCCTCACGCTCCCCCGGCTTTTGGCACGCGACGGCCGAAAGGTTAGCCATCACTGCCCTATACCATCTCAGACAAGTGGCTGTCCAAATCCATCCAATTTCTTCTCAAAAAACCTCACAATACAACAAACTTCTGGAGGGAAGTCATTCTACCGGTTGATTGTTCTCACGGTCAGGAAATTTCTCCTTAGTTCTAGATTGGTTCAGAAACACACTGATACAGGTAATCCTCGACTTAGGCCCACAGTTGAGCCCCACATTTATGTTGTTAAGTAAGACATCTGTTAAGTGAGTTTTGCCCCGTTTTACGACCTCTTTTTTTGGCCACATTCGTTAAGTGAATCACAGCAGTTCTGACATTAGTCACAGGGTTGTTAAATGAATCTGGTTTCCCCGTTGACTTTGCTTGTCAGAAGTTAGCAAAAGGAGATCACATGACTCCGGGACACTGCCACCGTCATAAATGTGAGTCAGTTGCCAAGCATCCGAATGTAAATCATTTGAAGATGGGGAAGCTGCACCGGTCATAAGTGTTGAAAAACAATCATCGTTCCACTTTTTTTCAGAGCCGTGGTAACTTTGAACTGTCACTAAATGAACTGTTGTAAGTCGAGGACTACCTGTATATAAGCAGAGAACAAACCCTACTCCCTTCTAGCATGGATGATGTTCCCTAGTTGGGTCATGAAACGTCTGCCGTGTTTCCCCCAAAATAAGACCTGGTCTTATATTAATGTTTGCTCCAAAAGACGCATTATGGCTTATTTTCCAGTTAGGTCTTATTTTGAGGGGGAAATACAGTACTAAATGCCTCCGTCTGCTGATGATTTTAACTAGGTCTTATTTTTGGGGTAGGACTTATATTACGAGCATCCTGAAAAATCATGCTAGGGCTTATTTTCTGATTGGATCTTATTTTCGGGGAAATAGGGTACAAGAAAACAACCAAGCTCAGGGAGCACCAAGGACCCCTCAGTCGCCTCCTCCTCCTCTTCCTCCTCCTCTTCCCTCCTCCTACACAGACCTCCCGCCATTCTAGCATTGATGATGTTCCCTAGTTGGGTAATGAAACATCTACAAGAAAACAACCAAGCTCAGGGAGCACCAAGGACCCCTCAGTCGCGTCCTCCCCTCCTCCTCTTCCTCCTCCTCTTCCTCCTCCTCCTCCTCCTACACAGACCTCCCGCCATTCTAGCACTGATGATGTTCCCTAGTTGGGTAATGAAACATCTACAAGAAAACAAACCAAGCTCAGGGAGCACCAAGGACCCCCCAGTCGCCCTCCTCCTCCTCCTCCTCCTCCTCCTCCTCCTCCTCCTCTTCCTCCTCCTCCTCCTCCCCTACACAGACCTCCCGCCATTCTAGCATTGATGATGTTCCCTAGTTGGGTAATGAAACATCTACATGCTCAGGGAGCACCAAGGGCCACACACTTGTCATCTCCTCCTCTCCTCCTCCTCCTCCCATCCTCCTCCTCTTCTCCACAAACCCCACTCCCTTCTAGCACTCATAATGTGTCGTGGGTCATGAAACCTCTGCAAGAAATCAACCAAGCTCTTGAGAGCATGTTTCAACCCTGACTTACAAGTTATCGTTTCTGTTGATAATTTATATACCCCCACATGTCCCAAGCACTGATGATTTGGGTTTCCCTTCTTTTTTTCCTCCCCTCTTCATTCTCTTTTAGAATCTGACTTGCCGCTTTGAAGTCTGGTCCCATCCTTGGCTGAAAAAGACTGAGTTGACAGAGATGAGCTGTAACTAATCTGGACGGCTGGGATGGACTTACGAGATGACTCCAACACGGGCAAATGATTCCGAGTGTCTCCAGCGACCGAAAAACCTCCGGTGTTGCAAGCTGAATTTACAAAGAATCTTTGCTTTTTCCGTCATGCATGACCTTCCCAAACCATGAGTTAAAATGGTTTACTTAAGCCCCATTTCACATTTTCCACGACATACGGTATACACGGGGGTCTTTTCTTCTTCCTCAGTTTCCCCTTCTTTTCTCTCGCTTTCTTTGCTGTTATAGAGAAGACAGATCTATATTTTGGTGAGTTGGTTGTTAACTGGTCTTAATAAAGCTATCAGCACGATGTTTCCAGTTTGTGTCCCTTTCTTGTCCAAATCCCGTCCAACCTTCCGGTTTTGACACCCACAGCACAAGGCTTGTCCAAGAAAGACCCAGCTGGGGGAAATGGGGGTCTCCCTGGGCTTCTGCTTTGCCCGTCCATGACTGTCCCACCTGGGAGGAAGGGAGGCCATCAGAGACCCCTGAAGCATCCTTGGCTGGAACTGCAACAGCTGCCAGATGCTGAGTGGGGAAGCCATTTGGTTCTTTTCCAAGCTTCTGGGAACTTTAGCTGTGGTTGTTGCATCCCTTTGACCGTTTTCTCTTCGGTAACTGCAATCAACCATTTTTAACAGAATTCATACTGATTCTTGAAACCCCTCCCTCGCTTGCTGAAAATGTGTCCACGGATTGTCTCTTTTCGATTTCTCACCCCTCCAAAGCTCCATATCCCCCCATCTATTCAGAAAGATGCCAAGATGCCCCTTGGCTGAAAACTCTCCACGGAGGGGAGGGGACTCGCTCTCCAAAGCTTTGAGGGGGCCCGACAATCTTGTGGATCCCCAACTCCTCATTATCCACCTGTCTAAAGATAATCTGGGCTTATGTTTAGGAAACACACAACCAGGCTAACAGATTAATGGAAGGGACCTTGGAGGTCATCTAGTCCAGCCCACTGCCGTCCCAGCCAAACAGGAGACCCTACACCATTTCTGACGGATGGGCAGCCCAGTCTCTTCTTGAAAGCTGCTTAAAAACTAGCAGGAGCAGAAGCTTAGTAACCGCCATAGAGGAGGGGGAGGGCTTCCTCTCCATGGTTTGAGGAGGGGGCGACAATCGGGGGGTGGGGGTGGGTTCCCCACATCCTCATTGTCCACGTGGCTAAAGGTAGCCTTGTCTTCTGCTTAGGAAACACACAACCAGGCTAAGAGATTAAGAGAGATGGAAGGGACCTTGGAGGTCATCTAGTCCAGCCCCCACCCCACCCACCGCCCTTGGCTTCTGCTCAGGAAACACACAACTAGCAGGAGTGATGACATTGTGTAGCAGACGGCGACTAGTAACTCAACTGTCTCCCCAACTTTCCCTGACTTCAGCCAAACCTCAACTAGAGGGAAGTATTGGGCTGAGGCGGAGAGCACCTGGGCAGCGGAGACGGTCCAGCCACAGGGGGCGGGGCTTCTGGAGAATGGGCGTGGCCTCCATGCAGGTGAGCGCCTCTGCCACCTGAGGCTCCTTGCACATATAAGGCAAATCTGTCGAGGTCTCTCTGCTTCCCCGCCCGCCAGCGACCTCCCTCTCACCAGCCCCATGGAGCGCTCCCGCCTGCCTCTCCCGTCCCTCCTCGGCCTCTTCGGCGCCCTCCTGATGCTCTCCCCGGAGCTGCTCCTGGGGATCCCCGAGCCTTTTTCCGATGTGCCCCTCACTGATCCAGGGATGAGGAAAGCCCTGGCCTTCGCCGTGGAGCAATACAACCTGGACAGAGATGACAGCACCTATTATTTTAAGATGCTGCATGTTCTGAAGGCACAGACTCAGGTTTGTGTCCGGAGCGGGGGAGGTTCCTTGGGGGGCTGGAAGTAGGTGGTCTGCCTCATTGGATCCTTGGAGCCGTTTACAAAGTCAACCTCTTGCCCCTAACAATCTGGCTCCTCATTTTACCGACCTTGGAAGGACGGAAGTTTGAGTCAGCCTTGAGCGGGTCAGGATCGAACTGCTGGCAGTGGGCAGAATTAGCTTGCAATACTGCATTCTAAGCGGAAGGAAAGGAAAGGAAAGGAAGGAAGGAAAGGAAAGGAAGGAAGAAGGAAGGAAGGAAGGAAGGAAGGAAGGAAGGAAGGAAGGAAGGAAGGAAGGAAGGGAAGGAAGGGCTCTTAGACATGTTGGTTTACAGTCATCTCTAAGCAGTTTACAGAGTCAGCAATTTGCCCCCAATAATCTGGGTCCTCATTTTACCGACCTTGGAAGGATGATGGAAGGCTGAGTCAATGCAATGCTACATCCTAACCATTGTGCCACCAGGGCTCTTAATAGAAGAGTTTTGGGGGGGGGGACTGGGGGCAGCTTGAGGAGTTTTCTAAGAAAGGGATTGTTGTCGTGGCCCAAAAGCCATGATTTCTGCTGTTCGTATCTGAAAGGGAAATATTTCCTCTTGAACTGATGTTCTTGCTGCTCTCAAGGCATAAAGTGCTTTCCGGGTTGCAACCGATGAAGCCGATCAGGTTTTCTAATTAATTAAAAGGTCCTGTACTTATTTTTAAATCCAGGAAATTGGTCGGAATGAATATCGTCTTACGATGGACTTGGTGAAAGTAACCTGTAAAAAGAGGGTCGGCAGGAAAAGGAAATATAGGTGGATCCAGAGATGTGAGCAACTTCCAGGGGATCAGGAGGTGAGATTAGATGCAAAGTCCCGATTATCAATTTGCAGTTTAATTGATGAATTAAATTGCCTTGTTTGAGCTCAGCAGCCACCTATGCAAAGGAGCTTTTAATTATTTTCGTGGACGACTTCAATTCAGAACATTAGGGGTGAGACGATAGCGGTGTTTGCTACTTGAGGGGCTGCCCCAAAGAAAACGGGGTCAGCCTATTCTCCAAAGCACCTGAAGGCAGGACGAGAGGCAACAGATGGAAACGCATGAAATAGTAGCACCGCTTTATAATGCCTTGATAAGGCCACCTTTGGAATATCGCATCCAGTTTTGGTCACCGTGATATAACAAAAAAAGATGTTGAGTCTCTGGAAAGAGTGCAGAGAAGAGCAAGGAAGAGGATTAGGGGGCTGGAGACAAAAACATACGAAGGACAGCTGCAGGAATCGGGAATGTCTAATTTAACGACAAGAAGGACTAAAAGAGCAGTCTTCCAATATTTGAGGGGCTGCCACAAAAAAGAGGGGAGGGTCAAATTATTCTCCAAAGCACCTGAAGCCAGGACACGAAACAAAGGATGGAAACTAATCAAGGAGAGAAGCAACCTGGAATTAAGGAGAAATTTTCAAACAGTGAGAACAATTAGCCAGTGGAACAGCTTGCCACCAGAAGTGGTGGCTGCTCCATCACTGGTGGGTTTCAAGAAGAGACGGTGCAGCCATTTGTCTGGAATGGTACAGGGTCCCCAGCTTGAAAAAGGATGTCATGCCCCCGTCGGGAGTCAGAATCTGCAGGGGAGGATGAGCTGGGGTGGGTGGGGGTGCCACGCTCCGGGTCATCACAAAGGGGCTGGACTGGATGATCTCCAAGGTCCCTTCCAACTCTTTCTCTCTTTCATTCCCTTCCAGAAACCAAACTGCTACTTTATAGTCACACCCCCCTCTCCACCGAGGGAAATGAACTTGGCAACGACAGACTGTCGCTGAGCTGGACCTCCGCAGGAGCTCTTCTGCTCCGGCTAAGGATTCTGAGGGTGTCCAGCAGCCGAGCAACCTCTGGTGGTGCAAGCTGGCTTCAGACCAAGCTCTGCTTCTTCTGGCACCTATCAAGAAGGAGACGGTTTGCTTCAGCCCAAATTCCCATCTTCTGCGTTTCTGAGATTGTTCCCTGAAATCCAGGGAGGCCTTTTCTTGCACTTCTCCTCTTTTCTATCATTTTCATCTCTGAGAAGAATCAATATTTTGCTAATTCAGTTCATTAATCTTAATAAAGCTTTTGCACGATGTTTCCAGCTTGTGTGCCTTTTTTGTCCAAATCCCGTCCACCTTCCGGTTTTGACACCCACAGCACAAGGACACCATGGCTGGTCTGAGAAAGTCCAGCTGGGGGAAATGGGGGTCTCCCTGGGCTTCTGCTTTGCCCGTCCATGACCCATGCTGTCCACCTGGGAGGAAGGGAGGCCATCAGAGACCCCTGAAGCATCCTTGGCTGGAACTGCAACAGTTGCCAGATGCTGAGTGGGGAAGCCATTTGCTTCTTTTCCAAACTTCTGGGAACTTTAGCTGTGGTTGTTGCATCCCTTTGACTGTTTTCTTTTCCGTAACTACAATCAACCATTTTTAACAGAATTCATACTGATTCCTGAAACCCCTCCCTCGCTTGCTGAAAAGGTGTCCATGGATCGTCTCCTTTTGATTTCTTCCTCCCCAAGCTCCATATCCCCCCCTCACATCTATTCAGAAAGATGCCCAGATACCCCTCGGCTGTAAACTCTCCATGGTGGGGAGGGGGCTTGCTCTCCAAGGGGTTTGAGGGGCGGGGGGTGGTAATCTTGGGGGTCCCCAACTCCTCATTATCCACCTGTCTCAAAGTAACCTTGGCTCATGCTCAGGAAACACACAACCAGGGTAACAGATTAACGGAAGGGACCTTGGAGGTCATCTAGTCCAGCCCACTGCCGTCCCAGCCAAGCAGGAGAATCTAACACCATTTCTGACGGATGGGCAGCCCAGTCTCTTCTTGAAAGCGGCTTAAAACTTGCAGGAGCAGAAGCTTAGTAACCGCCATAGAGGAGGGGGAGAGCTTGCTCTCCATGGCTTGAGTAGGGGGCGACAATCTGGGGGTTGGTGGGTTTCCCACATCATTGTCCACCTGGATAAGGTAGCCTTGGCTTCTGCTTAGGAAACACACAACCAGGCTAAGAGATTAAGAGAATTGGAAGGGACCTTGGAGGTCATCTAGTCCAACCCCAACCCCACCCATAGCCCTTGGCTTCTGCTCAGGAAATAGACAACTAGCAGGAGTGATGACATTGTGTAGCAGAGTGCTGAGTAGTAATTCAACTGTCTCGCCCCCTCCTTCCGACTTCAGCCTAACCTCAAGTAGGGGGGAGAATTGGGCCGAAGGGGAACTCAAAGCGGGCAGAGGCGGAGAGCACCTGGGCAGCGGAGACGGTCCAGCCAGGGGGCAGGGCTTCTGGAGAATGGGCGTGGCCTCCACGCAGGTGAGCATCTCTGCCACCTGCGGGTTCTGCACATCGAAGGCAAATCTGTCGAGGTGGCTCTGCTTCCCCATCTGCCAGCGACCCTCTCTCTCTCGCCAGCCCCATGGAGCACTCCCGGCTGCCTCTCCCGTCCCTCCTCGGCCTCTTTGGCGCCCTCCTGATGCTCTCACCGGAGCTGCTAATGGGGATAGCCGGGAAAATTATCGACCCGCCCGTCACTGATCCAGAAGTGCAGAAAGCCCTGGCCTTCGCGGTGGACCAATACAACAAGGACACAGGTGACAGCACCAACTATTTCAAGGTGCTGCACTTTGTGAAGGTGGTGAGAGAGGTGGGTGTCTGGAGGTGGGGAGGATTGTTTTGGGGGTGGGGGTAGCCTTGTTGGATCCTTGGAATAGCCAAAGGACTCGGGAATGTTCTGGAAACAATATCAAGAGCGGTTAGACTTATATACTGCTTCACAGTTCTTCACAGCCCTCTGTAAGCGGTGGACACAGTCAGCCTCTTGCCCCTCAACCATCTGGGTCCTCCTTTTACCCACCTTGGAAGGCTGAGTTAACCTTAAGGCGGTCAGGATCGAACTGCTGGCAGTGGGCAGAATTAGCCTGCAATCTAACCAGAGGAAAGGAGTGAGGGAGGGAGGGAGGGAGGAAGGAAGGAAGGAAAGAAGGAAGGAAGGAAGGAATAGCATTTAGACTTATATACTGCTTCACAGTGCTTTACAGCCCTCTCTAAGGATGGAAAGCTGCCAATCTTGAGCCAGGCAGGATTTAACTGCCGAACTGGTAGCAGTCAGCAGGAATACTCTGCAGTATTGCATTCTACCCACTGTGCCATCAGGGCTCTTAACAGAAGGGTTGCGGGGTGCAGGATCGAACTGCTGGCAGTGGGCAGAATTAGCCTGCAATCTAACCAGGGGGAGGGAGGGAGGGGGGTTTTCTAAGGGAAGGATTGTTATTGTGGCCCAAAAGGCCATGATTTCTGCTGTTCGAACCTGAAAGGGAAATATTTCCTCTTGAACTGATGTTCTTGCTGCTCTCAAGGCATAAAGTGCTTTCCGGGTTGCAACCGATGAAGCCGATCATGTTTCCTAATTAATTAAAAGGCCGTGTACTTATTTTTAAATCCAGGTGGACTTGTCGGATAAATACCATCTTATGGTGTTGTTGGTACAAACAAGATGTGAAAAGACGGCCGGTATGATAATAAGATATGAGAACGTCCAGAAATGTCCTCTACTTCCAGGGAATCAAAAGGTGAGATTGGATTCCAAATTCCAATGATCTATTCGCGGTTTAATTGACAAATGAAATCAATTGATTTCCTGCCTTCTCTGAGCTCAGCAGCCACCTCTGCAAAGTTAGGTTTTCATTATTTGCATGGACGACTTTAATTCAGAACATTAGGGGTGAGACTATAGCGGTGTTTGCTACTTGAGGGGCTGCCCCAAAGAAAACGGGGTCAGCCTATTCTCCAAAGCACCTGAAGGCAGGAGGAGAAGCAACGAATGGAAACGCATGAAATAGTAGCACCGCTTTATAATGCCTTGATAAGGCCACCCTTGGAATATCACATCCAGTTTTGGCCACCATGATATTAAAAAAAGATGTTGAGACTCTGGAAAGAGTGCAGAGAAGAGCCAGAAAGGATGATGAGGGGGCTGGAGATAAAAACATACGAAGAACGGTTGCAGGAATTGGGTATGTCTAGTCTAGTGAAAAGAAGGACCGGGGGAGACAGATAGCAATATTCCCATATTTAAGGAGATGCCACAAAGAGGGGAGGGTCAACTTATTTTCCAGAGCTCCAGAAGGCCAAGAAGAAGCAACAGATGGAAACTTTTGAAGGAAAGAAGCAACCTAGAACTAAGGAGAAACTTCCTAACAGTGAGAAAAATGAACCATGGGGCTGCTTTCCTCCAGAAGTTGTGGATGCTCCATCACGGGAAGTTTTTATGAAACAACAAATGTTTGTCTGAAATGGTCCAGGGTCCCTTGTTTGAACAAGGGGTTGGACTACATGATCTCCAAGGTCCCTTCCAACTCTGTTTTTCTCTCTCATTCCCTTCCAGAAACTCACCTGCTACTTTAGAGCTTTTAAGCGTTTACGTTTGTTCGGTATGTCCTTGGCAGCCTCCTCCTGTACCCCATCTGTACCTCCGAAGGACCTCTTCTGCTCAGGCTAAGGATTCTGAGGGTGTCCAGCAGCCGAGCAACATCTGGGGTGCAAACTGGCTTCATACCAAGCTCTGCTTCTTCTGGCACCAATCAAGAAGGAGACGGTTTGTTTCAGTCCAAATTCACATCTTCTGCGTTTCTGAGATTGTTCCCTGAAATCCAGGGAGGCCTTTTCTTGCACTTCTCCTCTTTTCTATCATTTTCATCTTTGAGAAGAATCAATATTTTGGTAATTCGGTTCATTAATCTTAATAAAGCTTTTGTCCTGATGTTTCCAGCTTGTGTGCCTTTTTTGTCCAAATCCCATCCAACCTTCCGGTTTTGACACCCACAGCACAAGGCTTGTCCAAGAAAGACCCAGCTGGGGGAAATGGGGGTCTCCCTGGGCTTCTGCTTTGCCCGTCCATGACTGTCCCACCTGGGAGGAAGGGAGGCCATCAGAGACCCCTGAAGCATCCTTGGCTGGAACTGCAACAGCTGCCAGATGCTGAATGGGGAAGCCATTTGGTTCTTTTCCAAACTTCTGGGAACTTTAGCTGTGGTTATTGCAGGCGTTTGCCCGTTTTTTTTTCAGCAACTACAATCAACCATTTTTACCAGAATTCATACTGATTCTTGAAACCCCTCCCTCGCTTGCTGAAAATATGTCCACGGAGAATCTCCTTTTAATTTCTCTCCCCCCCAAGCTCCATATCCACCCTCCCCCCACATTTATTCAGAAAGATGCCAAGGTTGACTCAGCCTTCCATCCTTCCGAGGTAGGTAAAATGAGGACCCGGATTGTGGGGGCAATAAACTGACTTTGTATAAAAAAAAGAACACCGCTTAGGGGGGGCGAAAGCCCTACTAAGCAGGTATATACAAAAGTATGAAGGCTATTGCTTAATGCATTGTAAGCCGCCCTGAGTCTCCGGAGAAGGGCGGCATCTAAATCGAACTAATAAATAAATAAGATACCCCTTGGCTGTAAAATCTCCATGGGGGGGGGGGGGAAGGGACTTGCTCTCCAGGGCTTTGAGGGCGACTATCTTGGGGCCCCCAACTCCTCATTATCCACCTCTCTAAAGATAACCTTGCTTAGGAAACACACAACCAGGCTAACAGATTAACGGAAGGGACCTTGGAGGTCATCTAGTCCAACCCCCTCTCAAGCAGGAGAATCTAACACCATTTCTGACGGATGGGCAATCCAGTCTCTTCTGGAAAGTGGCTTGAAAACTAGCAGGAGCAGAAGCTTAGTAACCACCATAGAGGAGGGGGAGGGCTTCCTCTCCGTGGTTTGGGGAGGGGGTGAAAATCTGGGAGTGGGTGGGTTTCCCACCTCCTCATTGTCCAGGTGGCTAAAGGTAGCCTTGTCTTCTGCTTAGGAAACACACCACCAGGCTAAGAGATTAATAAGAGAGATGGAAGGGATCTTGGAGGTCATCTAGTCCAGCCCACTGCCGTCCCAGCCAAGCAGGCGAATCTAACACCATTTCTGACGGATGGGCAATCCAGTCTCTTCTTGAAAGCGGCTTAAAAACGAGCAGGAGCAGAAGCTTAGTAACCGCCATAGAGGACGGGGAGAGCTTCCTCTCCATGGCTTGAGTAGGGGGCGACAATCAGGGGGTGGGTGGGTTTCCCACATCATTGTCCACCTGGATAAGGTAGCCTTGGCTTCTGCTTAGGAAACACACAACCAGGCTAAGAGATTAATAAGAGAATTGGAAGGGACCTTGGAGGTCATCTAGTCCAACCCCAACCCCACCCATAGCCCTTGGCTTCTGCTCAGGAAATAGACAACTAGCAGGAGTGATGACATTGTGTAGCAGAGTGCTGAGTAGTAAGTCAACTGTCTCGCCCCCTCCTTCCGACTTCAGCCTAACCTCAACTAGGGGGGAGAATTGGGCCGAAAGGGAACTCAAAGCGCGCGGAGGCGGAGAGCACCTGTGCAGCGGAGACGGTCCAGCCACAGGGGGCGGGGCTTCTGGAGAATGGGCGTGGCCTCCGCGCAGGTAAGCATCTCTGCCACCTGCGGCTCCTTGCACATCGGAGGCAAATCCGTCCAGGTGGCTCTGCTGCTTCCCCACCTGCCAAGGACCCTCTCTCTCTCGCCAGCCCCATGGTGCGCTCCCGGCTGCCTCTCCTGTCCCTCCTCGGCCTCTTCGGCGCCCTCCTGATGCTCTTCCTGGGGACCCCCGAGGATCTTTGCGACTTGCCGGTCACTGATCCAGGGGTTGAGAAAGCCCTCACCTTCGCCCTGGTGCAATACAACCGGTTCAGACGTAAGGACGCCAACTATTTCAAGGTGCTGCGAGTTCTGAAGGCGCAGTCGCAGGTGCGTGTCTGGAGGTGGGGAGGATTCCGAAGGGGGGTTGTAGGTGGGAGGTGGGCAGACTCGTTGGATCCTTGGAGTAGCCGAAGGACTCCGGATTGCTCTGGAAAGAAAAGCAAGAGCGGTAGTTAGACGGTACTTTCCAGCCCGCTCTAAGCGGTTTACAAAGTCAGCCTCTTGGTTCTCCCCCCCCCCCAACAATCTGGGTCCTCGTTTTACAGATCTCGGAAGGACAGAAGGTTGAGTCAACGTGGAGTGGGTCAGGATCGAACTGCTAGCCGTGGACAGAATTAGCCTGCATGACTGCATTCTAAGAAGAACGAAGGGAGCGAGGGAGGAAGGAAAGGAAAGGAAAGGAAAGGAAAGGAAAGGAAAGGAAAGGAAAGGAAAGGAAAGGAAAGGAAAGGAAAGGAAGGAAAAACAGACTTATACCCTGCTTCACAGTTTCTCTAAGCAGTTTACAGAGTCAGCCTCTTGCCCCCCTCAACAATCTGGGTCCTCATTTTACAGATCTCGGAAGGACAGAAGGTTGAGTCAACCTGGAGTGGGTCAGGATTGAACTGCTAGCAGTGGACAGAATTGCCTGCATGACTGCATTCTAAGAAGAACGGAGGGAGGGAGGGAGGGAGGGAGGGAGGGAGGGAGGAGGAAGGAAGGAAGGAAGGAAGGAAGGAAGGGAGGGAGGGAGGGAAGGGAAGGGAAGGGAAGGGAAGGGAAGGGAAGGGAAGGGAAGGGAAGGGAAGGGAAGGGAAGGGAAGGAAGGAAGGAAGGAAGGAAGGAAAGAAAGAAAAACAGACTTATATCCTGCTTCACAGTATCTCTAAGCAGTTTACAGAGTCAGCCTCTTGCCCCGAACAACCTGGGTCCTTCTTGGAAGGATGGAAGGTTGAGTCACCCTTGAGCCAGTCAGGATCGAACTCCTGGCAGTTGGCAGAGTTAGCCTGCAGTGCTGCATTCTAACCACTGGGCCACCAGGGCTCTTAATAGAAGGGTTGGGGGTTGGGGCTGAAGGGAGCTTGGGGATTGTTCTAGGGGAGGCACTGTTATCCTGGACTAAAAGGACATGATTTCTGCTGTTTATTTTATTTTATTTTATTTTATTTTATTTTATATTTTATTTTATTTTATTTTATTATTTTATTTGTCGAGTATGTATTAGATAATATATATAAGCATGAATTGAATACATAAAATGAATACAATTAAAGGGGACAGTAGGACAGGGACGGAAGGACGCCCCTTACAGACCTCTTAGGAATGGGGTGAGGTCAACAGTAGACAGTCTAAGGTTAAAGTTTTGGGGGTTTTGGAAAGAAACTACAGAGTCAGGTAGTGCATTCCAGGCATTGACCACTCTGTTGCTGAAGTCGTATTTCCTGCAATCGAGTATGGAGCGGTTTCCCTTAAGTTTGTATCTATTGTGTGCTCATGTATTGTGGTTGAAGCTGAAGTAGTCATTGACAGGTAGGACATTGTAGCAGATGATTTTATGTACTACGCTAAGGTCATATTGAAGGTGGCATAGTTCTAAGTTTTCTAAATTCAGAATTTCTAGCCTGGTGACATAAGGGATTCTGTTGCGAGTGGAGGAGTGGAGGACTCTTCTTGTGAAATATTTCTGGACGCGCTCAATTGTATTAATATCTGATATGCAGTGCGGGTTCCAGACAGATGAGCTGTATTCGAGAATTAGTCTAGCAAAGGTTTTGTATGCTCTGGTTAGTAGTGTGATATTACCGGAGAAGAAGCTACGCAAGATTAGGTTTACAACTCTGAATGCCTTTTTGGAGATGTTGTTACAGTTGGCTCTGGCACTTAGATCATTAGAGATGAGTACTCCAAGGTCCTTGATAGAGTGAGGATCATCTACAAGGTCATGTCCACTCAGCATGTATTTCGTGTTCTGGTTCTTTTTTGCTAATGTGTAAGACAGAACATTTGTTTGTTGAGATTTGAAGTTGCCACTTGTTTGACCATTCTGACACATAGTCAAGGTCTCTTTGAAAGGTAGCAGCATTGTCGGTGGTGTTAAATATTTTTACATCATCAACGAAGAGAACGCAGTTGCTTATAATATGATCACATAGGTCATTTATGTATAGTACGTATAGAACACTGCCTTGGGGGACACCGCTATTAACAAGTGCAGGATTTGATAGGGCGCTCCCTATTTTGACCACTTGTTGTCTGTTTGACAGGAACGCAGCTATCCAATTATGTAGGGGCCCGGAGATGCTATAGGATTTTAATTTTAGAAGTAGTTTGTCATGTACCACTGAATCAAAGTCTATGTAAATTGCATCTATTGCTTTGCCCTGATCGAGATTTGTAGTCCATATGTTCTTGCAGTGTAGAAGTTGTTGATTACAGGATAATTTTTTTTTCTGAAACCAAATTGTTTGTTAGAGAGTAGTTGTTTGTTTCTAGGTGGAGGGTAATGGATTGGTTAATGATCGATTCCATGACTTTGCAGGTGACGCAGCATAAAGAGATTCGTCTGTATTTTTTATTTATTTATTTTTATTATAACACTATATGACAAATACAAAACATACAGCATATATATATCTATATATCAGTTTCATAGTGGTCATCTTCTAATATTTATATTCTCCCCCGTTTCCCTTTATACTATTCCATTTTCTTCTTGTTCCTTTCTCTTTTAATTACATTGTACTTCTTAACAACCATATTGATTTTATACATTCTATACATTGTCATATTCATTCTTTCCATTTTCAAATTTCACCTCTATTTTCTTTTCTTTGAGCTCTTTTGTTAATTTGTCCATCTCGGCACATTCTAATATTTTTTTTTTTATCAATTCTTCTTCTGTTGGTATATTTTCCCTTTTCCAATTTTGTGCATATGATATACGTGCAGCTGTTATAATTTTCTTTTTTTCCCCCAATTTTTTATTTTTATTTTTTAAAACACAAAAATAAACATACAATACATCTTTTTGGAACAGAGCATTGATCCGGTCATACATTTGTTCAATTTTTTGTCATCTTTAACAAAAATTTATATATTCTAGTTTTGCCATAACACTTATTTCTTAATCTTAAATCACATATCTCAACTATTACCATCTTATAGAAAGTTTACTCATATTAACTTAATCAAAACAATTACCCTTCTATTAATCCAATTTAAATTTTAATTCAAATAATACCTTTTTTTTTTTTTGCTTTAATTTATATGCCGCCCTTCTCTGGAGACTCAGGGCGGCTTACAATGCGTTAAGCAATAGCCTTCATACTTTTGTATATTTATACAAAGTCAGTTTATTGCCCCCACAATCTGGGTCCTCATTTTACCTACCTTTGAAAGGATGGAAGGCTGAGTCAACCTTGAGCCTGGTGAGATTTGAACTTGCAGTAATTGCAAGCAGCAGATGTTAATAACAGTGCTTTAGTCCACTGTACTACCAAGGCTCTGTAATTATAATACATTTCACAATTCTTACCCTAAACCCTCACTATTAACAATACACTTCGAACATGTTTATATTTCAAAATCTTATTTCCATTTCTGTAACTTCCTTACCTTTGTTATTACTTCTTATAATATTCATTAAATCTTTATTTCATTATTACTTCATCAAAGTTGAATCTTATCTCTAATCTTAAAAATATAGCAATTTAACATTTAAACAAATGTTCTTAATTCAAATAATACTACATAACACAATTCCCAATTATTCCCCTAAATTCTATCTATTTAACAATAACATTTATATAATAACCAATTAAGTAATTCTTATGTAAATCATAATCCTTTATCATTTCAATTTTCTTTATTGTAAGCTGTTAGAATTTTCAACTCCCTTTTTGAAGATAGGGATGACCATGGTTAGTGACCATAAGTTGGGTAGGGAGCTGGTCCTGAAGGACTTTTCAAAGGTTATGGTTAGGGGTTATGCTATAGCAGTGGACAGCTTTTTTAAGAAGTATGCACATAGTCCATCAGGTCCGTTCATATCTGAAAGAGAAATATTTCCTCTTGAACTGATGTTCTTGCTTCTCAAGGCATAAAGTGCTTTCCGGGTTGCAACCGATGAAGCCGATCATTTTTTTGTATTTAAATCCAGGTGGAGACTAGATACGAATACCATCTCACGGTGGAGTTGGTGGAAACAACATGTGAAAAGTCGGCCTGTTGCAAACTGAGTTACAAGGACATCCAAATGTGTGAGCAATTTCCAGGGAATCAGGAGGTGAGATTGGATGCCAAATTCCGATGATCTATTGGCGGTTTAATTGATAAATTAATTTATCTCCTGCCTTGTTTGAGCTCAGCAGCCACCTCTGCAAAGGAGCTTTTAATTATTTTCATGGACGACTTCAATTCGAAACATTAGGGCTGACAGGATAGCGGTGTTTGCTATTTGAGGGGCTGCCCCAAAGAAAACGGGGGTCAGCCTATTCTCCAAAGCACCTGAAGGCAGGAGAAGAAACAACGGATGGAGACACATGAAATAGTAGCACCGCTTTATAATATCTTGATAAGGCCACCCTTGGAATATTGCATCCAGTTTTGGTCGCCATGGTGTAAAAAAAAAATGATGCTGAGACTCTGGAAAGAGGTCAGAGAAGAGCAAGAAAGAGGATTAAGGACTGGAGCGGCTAAAACATACGAAGAATGGTTGCAGGAACTGGGTATGTCTAGGTTTTTTTTTTAATTTATTTATATGCCGCCCTTCTCCGGAGACGCAGGGTGGCTTACAATGCATTAAGCAATAGCCTTCATACTTTTGTATATTTATACAAAGTCAGTTTATTGCCCCCACAAACTGGGTCTTCAATTTACCTACATTAGAAAGGATGGAAGGCTGAGTCAACCTTGAGCCTGGCGAGATTCGAACTTACTTTAATTGCAGACAGCTGGTGTTAAATTACAGTGCCTTGTCCGCAGAGCTATCCAGGCTCCTGGACAGTTTTAGATTCCTATCCAGTTTTATGGAAAGAAGGACAAGGAGAGAAATGAGAGCAGTCTTCCGATATCTCAGAGGTTGCCACAAAGAAGAGGGAGTCCAGCTATTCTCCAAAAACACAAGAAGGCAGGACAAGAAACAATGGAGGGAAAGTAATCAAGGAGAGAAGCAACCTGGAACTAAGGAGAAATTTTCTAAGAATGACAACAATTAACCAGTGGGATGGCTTCCCACCAGAAGTTGTAGGTGCTCCATCAACTGGAGATTTTCAAGAAGCCCTTTCTCCCGAATGGTGCAGAGTCTCCTGCTTGAGCAGGGGGTTGGACTAGATGACCTTCAAAGTCCCTTTCAATCCTGTTTTTCTCTCTCATTCCCTTCTAGAAACAAACCTGCTACTTGAAAGTTATACACCGACTTCCGGTGAATTTCAAAATCGTATCCTGTACCTGAGCTGGACCTCCGAAGGACCTCTTCTGCTCCGGCTAAGGATTCTGAGGGTGTCCAGCAGCCGAGGAACCTCTGGTGTGCAAGCTGGCTTCACACCAAGCTCTGCTTCTTCTGACACCAATCAAGAAGGAGACGGTTTGCTTCAGCCCAAATTCACATCTTCTGCTTTTCTGAGATTGTTCCCTGACATCCAGGGAGGACTTTTCCTGCACTTCTCCTCCTTTCTATCATTTTCATCTCTGAGAAGAATCAATATTTTGAGAATTCGGTTCATTAGTCTTTTTTGTGTGTGTGTGTGTGTGTGTCTTATACATCAAACAAACTTTAAATCTATAGCTGTCTACATCACAGCGCGAGAAGGAAGTAAAATTGTCCCATTACATATATAGGATAGCCAAGAAAAACCTATTACATATACCAAGTGACATGTTTATCATATACATCAGTTTGCAGCTCGGTCTGACATCCAATTGTACCATTGGCTCCAAGATATATAATAGTCTGTGTCCCTTCATCATTAAGTATCATAATAAGCCGATCTGATTCCGCACAGTTCATTATTTTCTGAATTACTACTTGTTCGGGTGGGCTGACATCCATCTTCCAGTATTTGGTTCATTAGTCTTAATAAAAGCTTTTGTCATAATGTTTCCGGCTTGTGTCCTTTTCTTGTCCAAATCCCGTCCAACCTTCCGGTTTTGACACCCACAGCACAAGGACACCATGGCTTGTCCAAGAAAGTCCAGCTGGGGGAAATGGGGGTCTCCCTGGGCTTCTGCTTTGCCCGTCCATGTGGTCTTTTTTAACCCATGACTGTCCCACCTGGGATGAAGGGAGGCCATCAGAGACCCCCCGAAGCATCCTTGGCTGGAACTGCAACAGCTGCCAGATGCTGAGTGGGGAAGCCATTTGCTTCTTTTCCAAACTTCTGGGAACTTTAGCTGTGGTTGTTGCATCCATTTGATCGTTTTCTCTTCAGTAACTGCAATCAACCATTTTTAATAGAATTCATACTGATTCTTGAAACCCCTCCCTCGCTTGCTGAAAATGTGTCCACGGATTGTCTCTTTTCGATTTCTCACCCCCCCAAAGCTCCATATCCCCCCCCATCTATTCGGAAAGATGCTCAGATGCCCCTTGGCTGTAAACTCTCCATGGGGGGAGGGGACTTGCTGTCCAGGGCTTTGAGGGGGACAATCTTGGGGGTTCCCAACTCCTCATTGTCCACCTGTCTAAAGGTAACCTTGGCTCATGCTTAGGAAACACACAACCAGGCTAACAGATTAACGGAAGGGACCTCGTAGGTCATCTAGTCCAGCCCACTGCCGTCCCAGCCAAGCAGGAGACCCTACACCATTTCTGACAGATGGGCAGCCCAGTCTCTTCTTGAAAACTAGCAGGAGCAGAAGCTTAGTAACGTCCATAGAGGTGGGGGGAGGGATTCCTCTCCGTGGTTTGGAGAGGGTTCACACATCCGTGGCTAAAGGTTGCCTTGGCTTCTGCTTAGGAAACATACAAACGGGCTAACAGATTAACTGAGCTGGAAGGGACCTTGGAGGTCATCTAGTCCAACCCCCATCCTACACATAGCCCTTGGCTTCTGCTCAGGAAATACACAACTAGCAGGAGCGATGACCTTGTGTAGCAGACAGCGACTACTAACTCAACTGTCTCCTCTCCTTCCGACTTCAGCCTAACCTCAACTAGGGGGGAGAATTGGGCCGAAGGGGAACTTAAATCGGGCAGAGGCGGAGAGCAACTGGGCAGCGGGGATGGTCCAGCCATGGGGCGGGGCTTCTGGAGAATGGGCGTGGCCTCCGCGCAGGTGAGCATCTCTGCCACCTGCGGGTCCTGCACATCGAAGGCAAATCCGTCGAGGTCTCTCTGCTTCTCCACCTGCCAAGGATCCTCTCTCTCGCCAGCCCCATGGAGCGCTCCAGGCTGCCTCTCCAGTCCCTCCTCGGCCTCTTCGGCGCCCTCCTGATGCTCTCCCCGGAGCTGCTCCTGGGGATAGCCGGGAGTCTTTCCGACGTGCCTGTCACTGATCCAGGTGTGCAGGAAGCCCTCGCCTTCGCTGTGGAGCAATACAACCAGGAGAGACGTGAGTGTGTCAACTATTTCAAGCAGCTGCGTCTTCTCAAGGCGCTGTCCCAGGTTTGTGTCCGGAGGTGGGGAAGATTTTGGGGGGCGGTGGTAGGTGGGCAGCCACCTTGGATCGTTGGAATAGCCAAAGGACTCGGAATTGTTCTGGAAACCACAGCAAGCGCGGTTAGACTTATATACCGCTTCACAGTGCTTTCCAGCCCTCTGTAAGCGGTTGACAGAGTAAGCATATTTTCCCCCAACAATCTGGGTCCTCATTTTATCCATCTTGGAAGGATGGAAGGCTGAGTCACTCATGAGCCAGTCAGGATCGAACTGCTGGAGAGTGGGCAGAATTACCTGCATTCTAAGGGGGAAAGAAGGGAAGGAAGGAAGGAAGGAAGGAAGGAAGGAAGGAAGGAAGAAGGAGGGAAGGACGCTTAGATTTATATACTACTTCACAGTGTTTTACAATCCTCTCTAAGTGGTTTACATAGTTAGCATATTTGCCCCTAACAATCTGGGTCCTCATTTTATCCATCTTGGAAGGATGGAGGCTGAGTCACCTTGAGCAGTCAGGATCGAACTGCTGGAGGTGGCAGAATTAACCTGCATTCTAAGAGGAGGAAGAAGGGAAGGAGGAAGGAAGGAAGGAAGGAAGGAAGGAAGGAAGGAGGGAAGGACGCTTAGATTTATATACTACTTCACAGTGTTTTACATCTTCAGTGGTTTAATAGTTAGCATATTTGCCCCTAACAATCTGGGTCCTCATTTTTGTCATCTTGGAAGATGGAAGGCTGAGTCTTGAGGTCAGGATAGAACTGCTGGAGAGTGGGCAGAATTAGCCTGCATCTTGGAAGGAAGGAAGGAAGGAAGGAAGGAAGGAAGGAAGGAAGGAAGGAAGGAAGGAAGGACGCTTAGATTTATACACTACTTCACAGTGTTTTACAACTTCTCTAAGTGGTTTACATAGTAAGCATATTTGCCCCTAACAATCTGGGTTCCTCATTTTATCCATCTTGGAAGGATGGAAGGTGAGCACTCATGAGCCAGTAAGGATCGAACTGCTGGAGAGTGGGCAGAATTAGCCTGCATTCTAAGGGGAAGGAAGGAAGGAAGGAAGGAAGGAAGGAAGGAAGGAAGGAAGGAAGGAAGGAAGGACGCTTAGATTTATACACTACTTCACAGTGTTTTACAAACTTCTCTAAGTGGTTTACATAGTAAGCATATTTGCCCCTAACAATCTGGGTTTCTTTTATCCATCTTGGAGGGAGAAAGCTGAGTCACTCTTGAGCAGTGAGGATCGAACTGCTGCAGTGGGAAGAGTTAGCCTGCAATGCTACATCCTAACCACTGTGCCACCAGGGCACTTAATAGAAGAGTTTGGGGGGGGGGGCTGGAGGGAGTTTAGGGGGGGGTTTAAGAGAAGGATTGTTGTCATGGCCCAAAAGCCCATGACTTCTAGTTGGTATCTGATATTGAAATATTTCCTCTTGAACTGATGTTCTTGCTGCTCTCAAGGCATAAAGTGCTTTCGGGTTGCAACGATGAAGCCGATCATGTTTTCTAATTAATTAAAAGGCACGTACTTATTTTTAAATCCAGGTGGAGACTAGGGACGAATACCATCTTAAGGTGGAGATGGTGAAAACAAGATGTGGAAAGAAGGCCTGTTGCAAACTGAGTTATAAGAGGATCCAGATGTGTGAGCTAGTTCGGGGAATCCGGAGGTGAGATTGGATGCCAAATTCCGATTTGCTATTGGTGGTTTAATTGATCAATTATATTGCCTTGTTTGAGCTCAGCGGCCACCTCTGCAAAGGAGGTTTTCATTATTTTCATGGACGACTTCAATTCAAAACATTAGGGGTGACACCATAGCGGTGTTTGCTATTTGAGGGGCTGCCCCAAAGAAAACGGGGGTCAGCCTATTCTCCAAAGCACCTGAAGGCAGGAGGAGAAGCAACGGATGGAGACACATGAAATAGTAGCTCTGCTTTATAATGCCTTGATAAGGCCACCTTGGAATATCACATCCAGTTTTGGCCACCACGATATAACAAAAAAGAAGATGTGGAGACTCGGAAAGAGTGCAGAGAAGAGCAACAAAAAGGATGATAGGGACTGGAGACTAAAACATACGAAGAACGGTTGCAGGAACTGGGCGGTAGTCTACTGAAGAGAAGGACCAGGGAAGACAAGGTAGCAGTGTCCCATATTTGAGGAGATGCCACAAAGAGGAGGGGGTTCAACTTATTTTCCAGAGCACCAGAAGGCCAGACAAGGAACAATGGATGGAAAATAATCAAGGAGAGAAGCAACCTGGAATTAAGGAGAACTTTTCTAAGAATGAAAACAATTAACCAGTGGGATGGCTTCCCACAAGAAGTTGGAGGTGTTCCATCACTGGAGATTTTCAAAAAAGAGATGGTGCAGCCATTTGTCTGGAATGGTACAGGGTCTCCTGCTTGAGCAAGGGGTTGGACTAGATGACCTCTAAGGTCCCTTTCACCTCTGTTTTTCTCTCTCATTCCCTTCCAGGAACGAAACTGCTACTTTATAGTTAGACCTCGCTCACCACCGAATGAAATGACCATGGAAACCATCGCCTGTGTCTGATCTGGACCTCCGCAGGACCTCTTCTGCTCAGGCTAAGGATTCTGATTGTGTCCAGCAGCCGAGCAACATCTGGTGTGCAAGCTGGCTTCAGACCAAGCTCTGCTTCTTCTGGCACCGATCAAGAATGAGACGGTTTGTTTCAGCCCAAATTCACATCTTCTGCGATTCTGAGATTGTTCCTTGACATCCAGGGAGGCCTTTTCCTGCACTTCTCCTCTTTTCTATCATTTTCATCTCTGAGAAGAATCAATATTTTCCTAATTCAGTTCGTTAATCTTAATAAAGCTATTGTCCTGATGTTTCCAGCTTGTGTGCCTTTTTTGTCCAAATCCCATCCAACCTTCCGGTTTTGACACCCACAGCACAAGGACGCCATGGCTGGTCCAAGAAAGTCCAGCTGGGGGAAATGGGGGTCTCCCTGGGCTTCTGCTTTGCCCGTCCATGTGGTCTTTTGTAACCCATGACTGTCCACCTGGGAGGAAGGGAGGCCATCAGAGACCCCTGAAGCATCCTTGGATGGAACTGCAACAGCTGCCAGATGCTGAATGGGGAAGCAATTTGGTTCTTTTCCAAGCTTCTGGGAAATTTAGCTGTGGTTATTGCAGGCGTTTGCCCGTTTTCTTTTCAGCAACTACAATCAACCATTTTTACCAGAATTCATACTGATTCTTGAAACCCCTTCCTCGCTTGCTGAAAATGTGTCCATGGATCGTCTCCTTTCGATTTCTCGCCCCTCCCAAAGCTCCATATCACCCCCCCCACACACACACACACATCTATTCAGAAAGATGCCAAGGTTGACTCAGCCTTCCATCCTTCCGAGGCAGGTAAAATGAGGACCCGGATTGTGGGGGCAATAAGATGACTTTGTATAAAACAAAGAACACCGCTGGGGGGTGGGAGGGGAAAGCCCTACTAAGCAGGTATATACAAAAGTATGAAGGCTATTGCTTAACACATTGTAAGCCGCCCTGAATCTCCGGAGAAGGGTGGCATCTAAATCGAACTAATAAATAAATAAGATACCCCTTGGCTGTAAATTCTCCATGGGATGGAGGGAACTTGGTCTCCAAAGCTTTGAGGCCAACAGTCTTAGGGGTCCCTAACTCATTATCATTATCGTAACCTTGGCTTACGCTTGGGAAACACACAACCAAGCTAGCAGATTAACACATCTGGGTGGGACCCTGTAGGTCATCTAGTCCAACCCTCACCTCACCCACCATCCTTGGCTTTTACTCTGTGAATATACAAGTAGCAGATCGTGACTAGTAACTCAACTGGGTCCCACCCTCCCTGACTTCAGCCAAACCTTAACTAGGGGGGAGAATTGGGCCCAGGCAGTGAGCACCTGGGCAGCGAAGACGGTCCAGCCACGGGGGGCAGGGCTTCTGGAGAATGGGCGTGGCCTCCGCGCAGGTGAGCGTCTCTGCACCTGCTGCTCCTGGCACATATAAGGCAAATCCGTTGAGGTCCCTCTGCTGCTTCCCCGCCTGCCAGAAAACCCTCTCTCTCGCCAGCCCCATGGAGCGCTCCCGGCTGCCTCTCCGGTCCCTCCTCGGCCTCTTCGGTGCCCTCCTGATGCTCTCCCCGGAGCTGCTAATGGGGATAGCCGGGAAGCTTTCCGACGTGCCCGTCTTTGATTCAGGAGTGCGGGAAGCCCTCGCCTTCACCATGCAGCAATACAATCAACGCAGACGTCAGAGCTCCAACGTTTTCAAGGTGCTGAATGTCCTGAAGGTGCAGTCCCAGGTGTGTGTCTGGAGGTGGGGCGGTTTTTTGGGGGAGGCGTGCAGCCTCATTGAAACCTTGGAGTAGCCAAAGGACTCGGAATTGTTCTGGATACAATAGCGAGAGCGGTTAGATGTATATCTATCTATATTTCTATCTATTATCTATATTTCTATCTATCTATCTATATTTCTATCTATCTATCTATCTATCTATCTAAATAAATAAATAAATAAATAAATAAATAAATAAATAATTTTATCTAAATAATTAAATAATGGTATTTGCAGGACCATCTTCTGCCTGCCTCCCACCGTCCCGTGCGCTCCCACAGAGCAGGCCTCCTCAGGGTGCCGTCGGCCAAACAATGTCAACTGGCGGCCCCCAGGGGGAGAGCATTCTCCGACAGAGCGCCGATCCTCTGGAACGGTTTGCCCACCGAGGTCAGGATAGCCCCGGACCTCCTCTCCTTTCGCCGTGAACTGAAGACGTGGCTCTTCCGTCAAATAACTTGATCTGCTAGGGATTGCACAAACTGTACTAATTTTAAAGATGGTTTTTAAGGGGTTTTAACTTATTTTGTGATTTTGTGATTTGCGTTATTGATTGTTGTTGTAAGCCGCCCTGAGTCCTTCGGGAGAATGGCGGCATATAAATCGCAAAAATAAATAAATAAATAAATAAATAAATAAATAAATAAATAAATAAATAAATAAATTTTATTAAACTTGTATGCCGCCCTCTCTCCCAAAGGACTCAGGACGGCTCATAACAATAAAAACACATAAAATTCAACACACACACACACACACACACACACACACACACACACACACATATATATATATATGTTTTCTCAGGTTTTCGCGGGTGTTTGTATGTAGGTCTTTGGTTATTCGGGTCTTCTCCCACGTAAAATTGGAAGTGTCTTGGCGACGTTTCAACAAAGTCTCATTCGTCATCTTCAGGCTGGTGTTCTCGGCTTCGTGCTTCCAGGATATATATAAACCCCAATAAAATCCCTTTAAAAAACCCCTTCAGTCCAATCCGGCAATGCCAAATAGCCATGTTTTGAGCGAAGGTCATGGGACATCCGGAGCTCCAGGGGGAGCTGATTCCACAGAGTAGGCGCGCCCACAGAGAAGGCCCGCACCCTGGGAGTCGCCAATGCTTTACAGCCCTCTCTAAGCTGTTTACAGAGTCAGCCTCTTACCCCCCAACAATCTGGGTCCTCATTTTATCCATCTCAGAAGGATGGAAGGCTGAGTCACCCTTGAGCCAGTCGGTCAGGATCGAACTGCTGACAGCGGGCAGAATTAGCCTGCAATGCTGCATTCTAACCACTGCACCTTCAGGGCTCTTAATAGAAGGATTTGGGGGGGCTGGAGGGAGTTTAGGGGGGTTTCTAAGGGAAGGATTGTTATCGTGGCCCAAAAGCCCATGACTTCTGCTGTTCGTATCTGAAAGGGAAATATTTCTCTTGAACTGATGTTCTTGCTGCTCTCAAGGCATAAAGTGCTTTCCGGATTGCAACCGATGAAGCCGATCATGATTTGTAACTAATTAAAAGGATGTGTACTTTTTTTTTTAATCCAGTTGGAGACTAGGGACGAATATGATTTTATGGTGCAGGTGGTGGAAACAGAATGTCAAAAGTGGGCCGCTCAGCGAATGGATTTTGAGACGATCCAGAACTGTCAGCAACTTCCAGGAAATCAGGTGAGATTGGATGCCCCAATTCCGATAATCTATTTGCGGTTTAATTGATCAAACCTGCCCTGTTTGAGCTCAGCAGCCACCTCTGCAAAGGGCATTTTAATTATTCTCATGGACGATTTCTTTTCTTTTCTTTTTGTAAATGTTTGTTTTTATTTTTTACACAAACAAACAATGCATTTTTTTCTGAACAGAGTAAAATTTAAGTCCTGTAATAGAAGATTTTTTTAAAAAATTCAATTTGGAATTCAGGATTCCAAAGGATTTGGATCCTAAATTGACTCAGAGAAATAGAAAATTAAGAAGAAAAATATAATAAAAATTGGTAAAGATTGGTAAGGTGGATTTTAAACAAAATGGATATTTTCTTAGGCTGTTGATTGGAATTGTGGATTGGAAAAAGGAACATTGCAACATTAAACTTTTATTTTGGGGAAAAAAAACCTTTTAAAGTGATAAGAGCAGTGGGAACTTTTAAGGAGGATTTGTTTGTCTGCAAGCTGTTTGACCTTGGCAATTAAAGAAGGTGGATTATAACAAAACTTAAAATCAGAATAACAACAACCCAGAAATAATAAAATGGCGCAGGAACTAATTGAAATGATTAAAAGGATGCGTGTATCACTGAAAAGGGAACTAAATGAAATGATTATAATGATGCATGGAAAACCTGATGAACCAAAAACATGTTGTATACATTTAGAACTAAAAATGGATTGAAGTAAGACTTATAGATATAAATGAATTTTAGAAAACTCAATAGTTGAGATTGTAATACATGGAATGTCTTTAATTGTAATAATGAAACTAACTAAAACATTTGAAATTAAGCTGAAAACTAATTCTGTTTATGGAATATCTTTAATTCTAACTCTGGAATTTAACCAAAAAATTGGAAATTATATTGTATTATGAAAATTAATTAGGTTTATGGTTTAAGATATTGTTGAAGAGGTACAGAAAAATATATTTGAAAAAACAATCGATTTGAAAAAGCAATGGAAAAGGAATGAATGATTGTAATGCTATATATTTAAGTGACTTTTAGTAAGATATTGGATTGTAATATTTGGATAAATTGACAAAGAAAAATATTTGTGACTGGAATAAGGGAATTTAGGGAAGTACTGAAAATTATATTATGTTGCGAAAAGGATTTCAAATTTAAGAGTTTTAACTTGGAGAAGGTAAGGGAAAAATTAAATTTGATTAAGATTAGAGATTAGGGCGAATGGTAATATTGGTTATTAGAAGAAATAAGGAAAAGAAAAATTAGAGAGAAAGATTATTATGGCAAAAAGTGAAATATATAAATTGTGTTGGAGACAGCGAAAAATTGTATACATTTGTGACTCGGCCAATACTCTGTTCAGAAAAAATTATTCTCATGGACGATTTCAATTCAAAACGTTCGGGGTGATACGATAGTGGTGTTTGCTATTTGAAGGGCTCCCACAAAGAGGAGGGGGGTCAACTTATTTTCCAAAGCACCAGAAGGCCAGACAAGGAACAATGGATGGAAAGCAATCAAGGAGAGAAGCAACCTGGAATGAAGGAGAACTTTTCTATAAATGAAAACAATTAACCAGTGAGATGGCTTCCCACAAGAAGTTGGAGGTGCTCCATCGCTGGTGGATTTTCAAAAAAGAGATGGCACAGCCATTTGTCTGGAATAGTACAGGGTCTCCTGCTTGAGCAGGGGGTTGGACTAGATGACCTCCAAGGTCCCTTCCAACTCTGTTTTTCTCTCTCATTCCCTTCCAGATACAAACCTGCTACTTTAAAGTTATACTCCGCTCTCCGGCTAACTTGGCAGTCACTGCCTGTTCCTCATCTGGACTTCCGAAGGACCTTTTCAACTCAGGCTAAAGATTCTGAGTGTGTCCAGCAGCCGAGCAACCTCTGGTGTGCAAGCTGAATTCACACCAAGTTTGGCTTCTTCTGACACCAATCAAGAATGAGACGGTTTGCTTCAGCCGAAATTCACATCTTCTGCGATTCTGAGATTGTTCCTTGACATCCAGGGAGGCCTTTTCTTGCACTTCGCCTCTTTTCTATCATTTTCATCTTTCAGAAGAATCAATATTTTGCTAATTTGGTGTTTCCGACTTGTGTGCCTTTCTTGTCCAAATCTGTACCTAAGATGGCGGGTGGGTGGGGTGGGGAGCAGCAGCCCAACTGCAGGATCAGGTATGGGGTAGGGAGAGACGAGAATATCAGCTTAGTTTATTATTTTCTTCATCTGAAAATGGGGACTGTTTTATCCCCTTACTCTCAAAGTTCCCGTTTCATCTGTATATCTTGATATCAAGATATGCAAATTTAGCCCAAAATCTAAATTTTTTTGGCAACAGATAAAACAATGGCTAGAAGAGATATTAATGCAAAATATAGGATTAAAACCACAATTCTTTTTATTGGGCATTATAAAGGACAAATATAACAAGGGTACAACGTATCTAATCCTACATATACTAACAGCAGCAAGATTGGCCTTTGCACAAAAATGGAAAAATAAAGCGGCCCCCATAGAAGAAGAAGAAGTGCTGCTGGAAGTGTAAATATAAAGATGGAACATTTTATCCCATGTGGTGGCAATGCCCCAAAGCAAAGAAATATTGGGAACAGATAAGGAGATGGCTACATCTCTACAATTCAAGAACAAATTGAATTTAAAGCAAATTGAATTTAAAGCAAATTGAATTTAAAACTGAATTATTAGGAATAATTAATCAAAGGATAAAGAAGCAACTCCAATATATCATTTTACACATAGTAACAGCAGCACAAATTGTTTATGCTCAATATTGGAAACTTGAAAAATTTTTGTAATTTTGGCAATTTGATGTACAAACGGCATACTTACACGCCAAGTTAGATAAGAAAATATATGTTAAGGCTCCTCAAGGTGTAGATCACTAGGGAAATGATATTTGGCTTTTAAACAAAAGCCTCTATGGTCTTAAACAACCTGGCAGAAGATGGTACGAATGCTTTACCAGTAGTTTAAAACAGATGGGTTTTACAATCTCATCAGCTGATGAATGTGGGTTCATTAAAAATCACCAGGGTATTAAAAAAACAGTTCTGGTTTACGTGGATGATATTTTGTATGTCTGCAAGTCTGAGGACAGATGTAAGATGTTTTCCAAGGAGTTAAGTAAGAATTTTGCCCTAATGCCTCTAGGTCGAATTGATAAATTCTTAGGAGTCCAATTTGTAAAGACGGAGAAAGGGTATGAACTTTCCCAACAGGACAAGATTATAGAATTGGTAGAAAGATGCAACATGACAGAGGCCAAATCTTGTGACACACCCATGCAGACCAGGGATGGGTTCTAAATTTTTTTACTACTGGTTCTGTGGGCGTGGCTTATTTTGTGGGTGTGGCTTGGAGGTCATGTGACTAGATGGGCGTGGCTAGCTGGTCAGAGTCATTTCTGGAAGGTCCTCGCACTAACGACCAGTCCTCGCACTTACGACCCGACTCATTTGTTTGCTTTTAACACTGATCAGCTGTAGGGCGGCCCTTTGAAGCCCCACGGCAAGAATTTAAACAGTTTTTTTCCCTCTAGTCATCAGCTGGGACTCAGGAGGCAGCAATAGATTGGGGGTGGGACCAAATAAAAGGTAAGAATAATGTGGGGGGGGGTGGGGGGGGAGGGCAGGGGGGGAGAACCGGTTCAGTGATGTCATATCGTCACTGCTACCGGCTCGGCCGAACCGGACCGAACCGGGAGGAACCCACCACTGATGCAGACAGGTTTCCTCAAGAATATGTATGCTGAAAGTGAACTTTTTGAGCAAAAGACACTTTATAAATCAGTGATAGGCTCATTGTTGTATATTGCAAGCTGGACTAAGCCAGATATCAGTCTGACTGTAAACGTTTTGTCCAGACACTCTGAGAATCCCACTCAATACCACTGGAGTGGAATTAAAAGAGTTTTAAGGTATTTAAATAACACTGTTAAACATTCACTTTTATTGGAGCCAGACATATCAGATAAGCCAAGTTTGTGTTGTTACACAGATGCTGATTGGGTAGGGGACATTAAGTCCAGAAAGAGTACTTCAGGTTATGTCATATTTCTGAATGGGAGTCCCGTCCATTGGTACTCAGGTAAACAGAAGTTAATTGCAACTTCCACTGCTGAGGCAGAAAATGTGTTTATCGAAAGCATCTAACGATCTGGTACGGTTTGATGATCTTCTCATAAACTTGTGGGAAGAACCAGTGTATCCTATTGAGATTCATGAGGATTTTATTGATTTATTTATTATTATTTATTATTTAAATTTGTATACCGCCCTTCTCCCGAAGGACTCGGGGCGGTGAACAGCCAAAATTTAAAACACGTACAGTATAAAAATTAAAACAGAATTAAATCAGTTTGGCTTCCCTAAATTTTAAAACCCTTAACCCATAAAATAACCCATTAAAATTTTAAGCCAGCCCGGCTTGCTGGAATAAGAAGGTCTTTAACACTCGGCGGAAAGTACGGAGGTCCGGGATCAGTCGTATTCCTGGGGGTAGCTCGTTCCAGAGGGTGGGTGTCCCCACAGAGAAGGCCCTCCCCCTGGGGGTCGCCAGTCGACATTGCTTGACCGACGGCACCCTGAGGAGACCCTCTCTGTGGGAGCGGATTGGCCAGTGGGAGGTCATCGGTTGCAGAAGGTGGTCTCGTAAATACCCGGGCCCTAAGACATGGAGCGCTTTAAAGATGAGAACCAATACCTTGAAGCGCACCCGGAAGACCACCGGGAGCCAGTGCAGCTCGCGCAGGAGAGGTGTTACATGGGAGCGCCATGTCGCCCCCATAATTACCCGCGCGGCCGCATTCTGGACCAGCTGGAGCCTCCGGGTATAACACAGCTGCTACCAATAACTCACAGGCTGATGCAGTGGGACAGAGGTCGCGTCACATTGACATCAAGTATAAACCTGTCAGACAATTGAGCAGGATAGGTTTCGTTAGGACAGTTTTCTGCGAGACAAAGGAACAAATAGCAGACTTGCTCACGAAGCCATTGCCTAGGGATCAACACCAATATCTCTTGGATAAAATATCTATGACTATGTAAGATTGTATTTCTTCTTTCCTCTATTCCTCCCCTTTCCCTCCCTCCTAACCTATCCTTTCCTTCCTCCCTCCCTCCCAACCTATCCTTCCTTCGTCCTTCCCTCCCTTTTCCTCTTTCCTTCTTTCCTCTATTCCTCCCCTTTCCCTCCCTCCTAACCTATCCTTCCTTCCTCCCTCCCTCCCAACCTATCCTTCCTTCATCCTTCCCTCCCTTTTCCTCTTTCCTTCTTTCCTCTATTCCTCCCCTTTCCCTCCCTCCTAACCTATCCTTCCTTCCTCCCTCCCTCCCAACCTATCCTTCCTTCGTCCTTCCCTCCCCTTTCCTCTTTCCTTCTTTCCTCTATTCCTCCCCTTTCCCTCCCTCCTAACCTATCCTCCTTCCTCCCTCCCTCCCAACCTATCCTTCCTTCGTCCTTCCCTCCCTTTTCCTCTTTCCTTCCTACCTCCATCCCTCCCCCTTTCCTCCCTTTCAATCTCCCCTCCCTCCCTCCCTCCCAACTTATCTCTGCTTCCTTCCTTCCTCCATCCCTCCCCTCTTTCCCTCCCTTTCAATCTATCTCCCCCTCCTTCCTTCCTTCCTCCCTTTTCTTTCTGACTGCACACACAGAGGGTTGTGAAAATATCTACAGACCCCTCGCATCCTGGACATCAACTGTTTCAACTCCTACCCTCAAAATGACGCTATAGAGCACTGCACACCAGAACAACTAGACACAAGGAGAGTTTTTTCCCCAAATGCCCTCACTCTGCTAAACAAATAATTCCCTCAACAGTGTCAAACTATTCACTAAGCCTGCATTACTATTATTCTTCTCTTCCTTACTAGTATCTATCCCTTCCCACTTACGACTATAATCATGTTGCTTGTATCTTTCAATTATATTGTTTTTATTTGTTTTTATTTGTATCTTTCAATTTATATAGTTTTTGTTTCCAAGTATGATTTGATAGCTTATTAGTAACCTTGACTATCACTAAGTGTTGTATCTTTTTATTCTCGATGAATGTATTTTATTCTCCTTATGTACACTGAGAGCGTATGCACCGAAGACAAATTCCTTGTGTGTCCAATCACACTTGGCCAATAAGGAATTCTATTCTTCCTTCCTCCATCCATCCCCCGCTTTCCCTCCCTTTCAATCTTTCTGTCCTTCCTTCCTTCCTTCCTTCCTTCCTTCCTTCCTTCCTTCCTTCCTTCCTTCTTTCCTTCTCTCCTTCCGTCCTTCCGTCCTTCCCTCCCTCTCCTTTCTTCCTTTCTTTCCTTCCCTCCCTCCCTCCCCCCCTTCACCATTCAGCATCTGGCAGCTGTTGCAGTTCCAGCCAAGGATGCTTCAGGGGTCTCTGGTGGCCTCCCTTCCTCCCAGGTGGGACAGGCATGGGTTAAAAAAGACCACATGGATGGGCAAAGCAGAAGCCCAGGGAGACCCCCATTTCCCCCAGCTGGACTTTCTCGGAGAAGCCATGGTGTCCTTGTGCTGTGGGTGTCAAAACCGGAAGATTGGATGGGATTTGGACAAGAAAGGCACACAAAAGGAAAATATTGATTCTTCTCAAAGATGAAAATCATAGAAAAGAGAAGTGCAAGAAAAGGCCTCCCTGGATTTCAGGGAACAATCTCAGAATCGCAGAAGATGTGAATTTGGGCTGAAGCAAACCGTCTCCAATCTCAGAAACGCAGAAGATGGGAATTTGGGCTGAAACAAACCATCTCATTCTTGATTGGTATCATTAGAAACAGAACTTGGTGTGAAGCCAGTTTGCACACCAGATGTTGCTCGGCTGCGGGACACCTCAGAATCCTTAGCCTGAGCAGAAGAGGTCCTTCGGAGGTCCAGATCACTTACAGGAGGTTGACTGCCAATTCCATCTTGGAAAGCGCGTGTATAACTTTAAAGTAGCAGGTGAGTTTCTGGAAGGGAATGAGAGAGAAAAACAGAGTTGGAAGGGACCTTGGAGATCATGTAGTCCAACCCCTTGTTCAAACAAGGGACCCTGGACCATTTCAGACAAACTTTTGTCGTTTCATAAAAACTTCCCGTGATGGAGCATCCACAACTTCTGGAGGAAAGAGCCCCATGGTTCATTTTTCTCACTGTTAGGAAGTTTCTCCTTAGTTCTAAGTTGCTTCTTTCCTTCCAAAGTTTCCATCCGTTGCTTCTTGCCTGGCCTGGAAAATAAATTGACCCCCTCCTCTTTGTGGCAGCCCCTCAAATATGGGAATATTGCTATCTTGTCTCCCCTGGTCCTTCTTTTCACTAGACTGGACATACTCAATTCCTGCAACTGATTTTTGTATATTTTTTGTCTCCAGCCCCCTCATCATCCTTGTTGGCTCTTCTCTGCACTCTTTCCAGAGTCTCCACATCTTTTTTTAATACCGTAGCAACCAAAACTGGATGCAATCTTCCAAGGGTGGCCTTATCAAGGCATTATAAAGCGGTGCTACTATTTCATGTGTCCCCATCTGTTGCTTCTCCTCCTGCCTTCAGGTGCTTTGGAGAATAGGCTGACCCTGTTTTCTTTGGGGCAGCCCCCCAAATAGCAAACCCCGCTATCGTCTCATCCCTAATGTTCTGAATTGAAATCGTCCATGAAAATAATTAAAAACTTCTTTGCAGAGGTGGCTGCTGAGCTCAGAGAAGGCAGGTTTGATCAATTAAACCGCAAATAGATAATCAGGAATTTGGCATCCAATCTCACCTTCTGATTCCCTGGAACTTGCTCACACTTCTGGACCTCCTCATAATCATATGGCCAATGTGGCCATTTTTTACATGTTGTTTCCATCAACTCCACCGAAACATGGTATTCGTCCCTAGTTTTCTCCTGGATTTAAAAAATAAGTACACGGCCTTTTAATTAGTTACAAATCATGATCAGCTTCATCGGTTGCAACCAGGAAAGCACTTTATGCCTGAGAGCAGCAGACAAGAACATCAGTTCAAGAGGAAATATTTCAATATCAGATAAAAACAGCAGAGGTCATGGCCTTTTGTGCCACGATAACAATCCACCCCATAGAAACCCCCCTAAATTCCCTCCAGCCCCCCCCCAAACCCTTCTATTAAGAGCCCTGATGGCACAGTGGTTGGGATGCAGCATTGCAGGCTAACTCTTCCCACTGCAGCAGTTCGATCCTGACTGGCTCAAGGGTGACTCAGCCTTCTGCCCTTCCAAGATGGATAAAATGAGGACCCAGATTGTTAGGGGCAAATATGCTAACTATGTAAACCGCTTAGTGAGGGCTGTAAAGCAGTGTGAAGCGGTATATAAATCTAAGTGTCCTTCTTCCTTCCTTCCTTCCTTCCTTCCTTCCTTCCTTCCTTCCTTCCTTCCTTCCTTCCTTCCTTCCTTCCTTCCTTCCTTCTTATTATTATTTTATTTATTAAATTTTTATACTGCCCTTCTCCCGAAGGACTCAGGGCGGTGTACAGCCAAGATAAAAACCAACAATATGAAAGTTAAAAACAATTTAAAATTATTAACTAGTTTGGCCAATAATCTAAAATGAAATAACCCATTAAAATAATATTTTAGGCCAGCCCTGCTTGAGGGAATAATAGTGTTTTAAGGGCGCGACGAAAGGTACGAAGGTCGGGAATCCGACGTATCTCCGGGGGCAGCTCGTTCCAGAGGGCAGGTGCCCCCACAGATCCCCCTGGGGGTCGCCAGTTGACACTGTCTAACCGACGGCACCCTGAGGAGACCCTCTCTGTGGGAGCCTACTGGTCGATGGGAGGCTATCGGAGGCATAAGGCGGTCTCATAAGTACCCAGGTCCTATGCCATGGAGCACTTTAAAGGTGGCGACCAACACCTTGAATCGCACCCGGAAGACCACCAGGAGCCAGTGCAGCTTGCGCAGGAATAGTGTTACATGGGAGCATTGAGTCGCCCCCATATAATCACTCGCGCGGCTGCATTTTGGACCAGCTGGAGCCTCCGGGTGCTCTTCAAGGGGAGCCCATGTAGAGAGCGTTTCAGTAGTCCAGACTCCCTTCCTTCCTTCCTTCCTTCCTTCCTTCCTTCCTTCCTTCCTTCCTTCCTTCCTTCCTTCCTTCCTTCTTTCCTTCCTTCCCTCCTTCCCTCCTTCCCTCCTCTTAGAATGCAGGCTAATTCTGCCCACTCTCCAGCAGTTCGATCCTGACTGGCTCATGAGTGACTCAGCCTTCCGTCCTTCCAAGATGGATAAAACGAGGACCCAGATTGTTGGGGGAAAAATATGCTGACTCTGTAAACAGCTTAGAGAGGGCTGGAAAGCACAGTGAAGGGATATATAAGTCTAACCCCCTCTTGCTATCGTTTCCAGAAAATTTCCGAGTCCTTTGGCTACTCCAAGGATCCAACGAGGCTGCCCACCTACCAACCTCCCCCCCAAAATCCTCCCCACCTCCAGACACATACCCGCCACTGCGCCCCCAGAATTCGCAGCACTTTGAAATAAGTCATGCTGCTATGATTGCACCGGTTGTATAGGTCCAGGGAAAAAGCGAGGACTTTCTGCAGCCTCGGATCAGTGACAGGCACGTCGGAAAGACACCCGTCTATCCCCAGGAGCAGCTCCGGGGAGAGCATCAGGAGGGCGCCGAAGAGGCCGAGGAGGGACAGGAGAGGCAGCCGGGAGCGCTCCATGGGGCTGGCGAGAGAGAGGATCCTTGGCAGGTGGAGAAGCAGAGCAACCTCGACGGATTTGCCTTCGATCTGCAGGAGCCGCAGGTGGCAGAGATGCTTACCTGCACGGAGGCCACGCCCCTTCTCCAGAAGCCCCGCCCCATGGCTGGACCATCCCCGCTGCCCAGGTGCTCCCCGCCTCCGCGCGCTTTGAGTTCCCCTTCGGCCCAATTTTGCCCCCTAGTTGAGGTTAGGCTGAAGTCTGGGAAGGTGGGAGACAGTTGAGTTACTAGTCCGGGCCTGCTACAAAACGTCAGCGCTCCTGGTAGTTGTGTATTTCCTGAGCAGAAGCCAAGGGCTATGTGTAGGATGGGGGTTGGACTAGATGACCTCCAAGGTCCCTTCTGTTAATCTCTTAGCCTGGTTGTGTGTTTCCTAAGCAGAAGCCAAGGCTGCCTTTAGCCACGTGGACAATGAGGATGTGGGAAACCCACCCACTCCCAGATTTTCACCCCCTCCCCAAACCATGGAGAGGAAGCCCTCCCCCTCCTCTATGGCGGTTATTAAGCTTCTGCTCCTGCTAGTTTTCAAGCCGCTTTCAATAAGAGACTGGATTGCCCATCCGTCAGAAATGGTGTTAGATTCTCCTGCTTGAGGGGGGTGGACTAGATGACCTCCAAGGTCCCTTCCATCTCTCTTTTTATTGAAAAAGTTTTACCAATACAAATTTTTTCCCATTTCCCCCCCACCTTTCCCTCCCTAACCCTCCCTTGCCCTCCCCTCCTCTCATGAATTCCCCAAGGTGGGCTATGGGTAGGGTGAGGGTTGGACTAGATGACCTCCAAGGTCCCTTCCATCTCTCTTAATCCCTTAGCCTGGTTGTGTGTTTCCTAAGCAGAAGCCAAGGCTACTTTTAGCCACCTGGACAATGAGGGAACCCCTCCCCCCAGGATTGTCACTCCCTTCCAAAGGGATGAAGAGGAAGCCCTCCCTCCTTCTATAGAGGTTACTAACTCTAATCCTCCCAGGTGGGACAGGCATGGGTTTAAAAAAGACCAGATGGACGGGCAAAGCAGAAGCCCAGGGAGACCCCCATTTCCCCCAGCTGGACTTTCTTGGACCAGTCATTGTGTCCTTGTGCTGTGGGTGTCAAAACCGGAAAGTTGGACGGAATTTGGACAAGAAAGGGACACAAGCTGGAAACATCATGACAATAGCTTTTATTAAGATGAATGAACCCAAATAGCAAAATATTGATTCTTCTCAGAGATGAAAATGATATAGAAACGAGGAGAAGGGCAGGAAAAGGCCTCCCTGGATGTCAAGGAATAATTTCAGAAATTCAGAAGATGGGAATTTGGGCTGAAGGAAACCGTCTCTTCTTGATTGGTGTCAGAAGAAGCTAAGGTTGGTGTGAAGCCAGGTTGTCCACCAGAGGTTGCTCGGCTGCGGACACCCTCAGAATCCTTAGCCTGAGCAGAAGAGCTCCTGCCGAAGTCCAGATCACTTACAGGAGGTGACTGCCAATTCCATCTTGGAAAGCACTTGTCTAACTTTAAAGAAGCAGTTTGGTTTCTGGAAGGGAATGAGAGAGAAAAACAGAGTTGGAAGGGACCTTGGAGATCATGTAGTCCAACCCCTTGTTCGAACAAGGGACCCTGGACCATTTCAGAGAAATGTGTGTCGTTTCATAAAAACTTCCCGTGATGGAGCATCCACAACTTCTGGAGGAAAGCAGCCCCATGGTTCATTTTTCTCACTGTTAGGAAGTTTCTCCTTAGTTCTAAGTTGCTTCTTTCCTTCCAAAGTTTCCATCCGTTGCTTCTTGCCTGGCCTGGAAAATAAATTGACCCCCTCCTCTTTGTGGCAGCCCCTCAAATATGGGAATATTGCTATCCTGTCTCCCCTGGTCCTTCTTTTCACTAGACTGGACATACTCAATTCCTGCAACTGATTTTTGTATGTTTTTTGTCTCCAGCCCCCCTCATCCTCCTTGTTGGCTCTTCTCTGCACTCTTTCCAGAGTCTCCACATCTTTTTTTAATATTGTGGTGACCAAAAGTGGATGCAAGAGTCCAAGGTTGGTCTTATCAAGGCATTATAAAGCGGTGCTACTATTTCATGTGTCTCCATCCGTTGCCTCTCGTCCTGCCTTCAGGTGCTTTGGAGAATAGGCTGACCCTGTTTTCTTTGGGGCAGCCCCTCAAGTAGCAAACACCGCTATCGTCTCACCCCTAATGTTCTGAATTAAAGTTGTCCATGCAAATAATGAAAACCTAACTTTGCAGAGGTGGCTGCTGAGCTCAGAGAAGGCAGGAAATCAATTGATTTCATTTATCAATTAAACCGCAAATAGATCATCGGAATTTCCCATCTAATCTCACCTCCTGTTTCTCTCGAAGTCGCTTACATTTCTGGATATACTGATAAGTCGGTTTCCAAGAGGCTATCTTTTTACATGTTGTTTTCACCAACTGCGTCAAAAGACTGTAATTCACCCAAGTCTCCACCTGGATTTAAAAATAAGTACAGGGCCTTTTAATTAATTAGGAAACCTGATCGGCTTCATCGGTTGCAACCCGGAAAGCACTTTATGCCTTGAGAGCAGCAAGAACATCAGTTCAAGGGGAAATATTTCCCTTTCAGATACGAACAGCAGAAGTCATGGGCTTTTGGGCCACAATAACAATCCTTCCCTTAGAAACCCCCCAAGCTCCCTCCAGCCCCCCCAAACCCTTCCATTAAGAGCCCTGGAGGCACTGTAGTTAGGATGCAGCATTGCAGGCTAACTCTGCCCGCTGTCAGCAGTTTGATCCTGACTGTCTCAAGGGTGACTCAGCCTTCCGTCCTTCCGAGGTTGGTAAAGAGGATCCAGATTGTTAGGGGCAAATATGCTGACTATGTAAATCGCTTAGAGAGGATTGCAAAGCACTGTGAAGTAAGTGTCCTTCCTTCCCTCCTTCCCCCCTCCCTCTTCCTTTCTTCCTTCCTTCCATCCATCCAACCTCCCTCTTCCTTCCTTCCCCCTCCCTCCCCTTCCTTTCTTCCTTCCTTCCTTCTCCCCTCCCTCCCTCTTCCTTCCTTCCAACCTCCCTCCCCTTCCTTCCTTCCTTCCTCCATCCAACCTCCCCTTCCTTCCTTCCTTCCCTCCTTCTTTCCTTCCTTCCTCCTTCCTTCCTTCCCCCTCCCTCCCCTTTCTTCCTTCCATCCATCCAACCTCCCCCTTCCTTCTTTCCTACCTTCCTTCCTTACCTCCTTCCTTCCTTCCCCCTCCCTCCCCTTTCTTCCTTCCATCCATCCAACCTCCCTCTTCCTCCCTCCCTCCCTCCCTCCCTCCCTCCCTCCCTTCCCCACTCCCTCCCTCCCTTCTGCTTAGAATGCAGTATTGTAGGTTTAGTCTGCTCATTGCCCGCAGTTCCATCCCGACCGGCTCAAGGTTGACTCAGCCTTCTGTCCTTCTGAGGTTGGTAAAATGAGGACCCAGATGGTTGGGAGCAAGAGGCTGACTCTGTAAACCGCTTAGAGAGGGCTGTAAAAGCACTGTGAAGCGGTAGATAAATCTAACCCCTCTTGCTATTGTTTCCAGAAAATTTCCCAGTCCTTTGGCTACTCCAAGGATCCAACGAGGCTGCCCACCTACCTACCCCCCAAATCCTCCCCACCTTCAGACACACACACCTGCGACTGCGCCATCAGAACGCGCACCACCTTGAAATAGTTGGGGCTGTCCCCTCTGTCCTGGTTGTATTGCTCCACGGCGAAGGCGAGGGCTTCCTGCACACCTGGATCATTGGCGGGCAGGTCGGTAATTTTCCCGGCTATCCCCATTAGCAGCTCCGGGGAGAGCATCAGGAGGGTGCCGAAGAGGCTGAGGAGGGACTGGAGAGGCAGCCGGGGGCGCTCCATGGGGCTGGCGAGAGAGAGGGTCGCTGGCAGGTGGGGAAGCAGAGCGACCTCGACGGATTTGCCTTCAATGTGCAGGAGAGGCAGGTGACAGCTGCACTCACCTGCGTGGAGGCCACACCCATTGTCCAGAAGCCCGACCCCCCCATGGCTGGACCGTCCCCGCTGCCCAGGTTCTCGCCGCCTCTGCGCGCTTTCGGCCCAATTCTCCGCCTTAGTTGAGGTTAGAGAGACACCCAAGCTGGAAACATCAGAAAAATAGCTTTTATTAAGATTAAGGAACCGAATTAGTAAAATATTGATTCTTCTCAAGAGATGAAAATGATAAAAAAGAGGAGAAGGGCAGGAAAAGGCCTCCCTGGATGTCAAGGAATCATTTCAGAAACGCAGAAGATGGGAATTTGGGCTGAAGGAAACCGTCTCATTCTTGATTGGTGCCAGAAGAAGCAGAGCTTGGTGTGAAGCCAGCTTGCACCCCAGATGTTGCTCGGCTGCTGGACACCCTCAGAATCCTTAGCCGGAGCAGAAGAGGTCCTGCGGAGGTCCAGCTCAGGTACAGGTGCTGATTGCCAAGTTCATTTCATTCGGCGGAGAGCCAGGTATAACTTTAAAGTAGCAGGTTGGCCTCTGGAAGGGAATGAGAGAGAGAAAAAGAGATGAAAGGGACTTTGGAGGTCATCTAGTCCAACCCCTTGCTCAAGCAGGAGACCCTGTACCATTCCAGACAAATGGCTTCACAATCTCTTCTTGAAAACCACCAGTCATGGAGCGCCCACAACTTCTGGAGGAAAGCAGCCCCATGGTTCATTTTTCTCATTGTTAGAAAACTTTCTCCTTCATTCCAGGTTGCTTCTCTCCTTGATTCCTTTCCATCCATTGTTCCTTGTCTGGGTTTCTGGTGCTTTGGAAAATAAGTGGACCCCCCTCCTCTTTGTGGGAGCCCCTCAAATATTGGAATATTGCTATGATGTCTCCCCTGGTCTTTCTGTTCTCTAGAGCATCCATGCCCGGTTCCTGCAACCGTTCTTCGTATGTTTTTATCCCCAGCCCCCTCATCATCCTTTCTGGCTCTTCTCTGCACTCTTTCCAGAGTCTCCACATCTTTTTTTAATATCGTAGCAACCAAAACTGGATGCAATCTTCCAAGGGTGGCCTTATCAAGGCATTATAAAGCGGTGCTACTATTTCATGTGTCTCCATCCGTTGCTTCTCGTCCTGTCTTCAGGTGCTTTGGAGAATAGGCTGACCCCCATTTTCTTTGGGGCAGCCCCTCAAGTAGCAAACACCGCTATTGTCTCACCCCCTAATGTTTTGAATTGAAGTTGTCCACGAAAATAATGAAAACCTAACTTTGCAGAGGTGGCTGCTGAGCTCAGAGAAGGCAGGAAATCAATTGATTTCATTTATCAATTAAACCGCAAATAGATCATCGGAATTTGGCATCCAATCTCACCTCCTGATTTCCTTGAAGTGGCTTACATTTCTGGATCTTCTTATATGTCTTTGTCTTATTGGCGTTCTTTTTACATTCTGTTTTCATCAACTCCACCTTAAGATGGTATTCGTCCCTCTTATCCACCTGGATTTAAAAAGAAGTACGGGCCTTTTAATTAATTAGAAAACATGATCGGCTTCATCGGTTGCAACCCGGAAAGCACTTTATGCCTTGAGAGCAGCAAGAACATCAGTTCAAGAGGAAATATTTCAATATCAGATACCAACAGTAGAAGTCATGGGCTTTTGGTCCACGATAACAATCCTTCCCTTAGAAAACCTCCCAAGCTCCCTCCAGCCACCGCAAAACCCTTCTATTAAGAGCCCTGGTGGGACAGTGGTTAGGATGCAGCATTGCATTAACTCTTCCCACTGCCGGCAGTTCGATCCTGACTGGCTCAAGGGTGACTCAGCCTTCCGTCCTTCCAGGATGGATTAAACGAGGACCCAGATTGTTGGGGGCAAGAGGCTGACTCTGTAAATCGCTTAGAGAGGGCTGTAAAGCGGTATACAAGTCTAAATGCTCTTCAAATTGTTTCCAGAGCAATTCAGTAACAGTAACAGAGTTGGAAGGGACCTTGGAGGTCATCTACTCCAACCCCCTGCTCACCCAGGAGACCTGTACTAGGGATTCAAACCGGGGAACTGCCGACCTTTCTGATCGACAAGCTCAGTCTGTTAGCCAATGACCTTTGGCTACTCCAAGGATCCAACAAGGTTGCCCACCTCCGCCCCCTCCAAAAAAATTCCTCCCCACCTGCAGGCACACACCTGGGACTGCGCCTTCAGAACGCGCAGCTGCTTGAAATAGTTGGCGCTGTCCTCTCTGTCCTGGTTGTATTGCTCTACGGCGAAGGCCAGGGCTTTCCTCACCCCCGGATTAGTGACGGGCACATTGGAAAGATCCTCGGGCATCCCCAGGAGCAGCTCCAGGGAGAGCATCAGGAGGGCGCCGAAGAGGCCGAGGAGGGACGGGAGAGGCAGCCGGGAGCCCTCCATGAGGCTGGCAAGAGAGAGTTGCTGGCAGGCAGGGAAGCAGAGTCACCTCGACGGATTTGCCTTCGATCCTGCAAGACCCGCAGGTGGCAGCATCGCTCACCTGGGCGGAGGCCACGCCCATTCTCCAAAAGCGCCGCCCCCTGTGGCTGGACCGTCTCCGCTGCCCAGGTTCTCTGCCCCTCGGCCCAATTCTCCCCCCTAGTTGCGGTTTGGCTGAAGTTGAGGAAAGGGGGGAGACAGTTGAGTTACTAGTCGCGGTCTGCTACACAACGTCAGAGCTCCTGCTAGTTGTGCGTTTCCTGAGCAGAAGCCAAGGGCTATGTGTAGGATGGGGGTTGGACTAGATGACCTCCAAGGTCTCTTCCAGCTCTCTTAATCTGTTAGCCCGGTTGTGTGTTTCCTGAGCAGAAGCCAAGGCTACCTTTAGCCACCTGGACAATGAGGGTGCGGGCATCCGCCCAACCAGGATTGTCGCCCCTCTCCCCAAACCATGGAGAGGAAGCCCTCCCCCTCCTCTATGGATGCTACTAAGCTTCTGCTCCTGCTAGTTTTCAAGCAGCTTTCAAGAAGAGACTGGGCTGCCCATCCCTCAGAAATGGTGTAGGGTCTCCTGCTTGGGCTGGGTAAGGCGTTGGACTAGATCAGGGGTCCCCAACCTTTTGGACCTCAGGGCCCACTAAATTCATAATTTTAAATCCCGCGGACCCCACTAATATGATCTGCCTAATGACTGGCTGGGTGGGCGTGGCTAGGTGGTCATGTGACTGGGTGGGTGTGGCCAACTTGACGGCACTCATGTGACATGGTCGGCCTCTACTCGCCCCTCCCCTCCCAGCCCCTCCTCGCCTGCCCTCCCAGGCTCCTTAGGGCCCCAACAGGAAGCAGTGGTTGGAGCTAAGCAGCCACCAGGAGAAAAAGTTGGCAAAACAGCTCAGTTCAGATTGGATCTGGCCGAGAAGGAGGCTCAGCAGAAGCACCTCACTGAGGACTAGGAGCATAGGCTTTCCAAGCAGAGGGAAGACCTGCGGGAGTGCAAGGCCAGGTACCGGCGCCTGGAGGCTCAGCGGGCTGAGATGGTCAGTCAGTTCCAGGCCATGATGCAGACCCACTGGAACCAGGCCCTCCGGCTCTTCGCCATCAGCGACTCTTCCCTCCAGCCTTCGCCCAAAGCCCCACACCAGGAGGCCGAAGCAGACCCCAAATCGGAATTTCTGCCCCCCTTTGACCCACACAAAAAGACCCCGAAGGGGGAGATTCTCCGCAGCAACACAAGCATTCATTGCACGCATCCGTCCCAGGGGCCGTAGTTTGAGGACCCCTGATTTAGTGCAATATAAAAAATGGAAATAATTTTTCTGCGGACCACCAAAATTTTCTCACGGACCACCGCTGGACTTGATGACAGTTCCATCCAAGGATGCTTCAGGGGTCTCTGATGGCCTCCCTTCCTCCCAGGTGGGAGAGTCATGGGTTAAAAAAGACCACATGGACGGGCAAAGCAGAAGCCCAGGGAGACCCCCATTTCCCCCAGCTGGACTTTCTTGGACCAGCCATGGTGTCCTTGTGCTGTGGGTGTCAAATCCGGAAGGTTGGATGGGATTTGGAGAAGAAAAGGACACAAGCTGGAAACATCGTGCTGATAGCTTTATTAAGATGAATGACCCGAATTAGCAAAATATTGATTCTGCTCAGAGATGAAAATGATAGAAAGGAGGAGAAGTGCAAGAAAAGGCATCCCTGGATGTCAAGGAACAATCTCAGAAACGCAGAAGATGTGAATTTGGACTGAAACAAACCGTCTCATTCTTGATTGGTGCCAGAAGAAGCAGAGCTTGGTGTGAAGCCAGTTTGCAACCCAGATGTTGCTCGGCTGCTGGACACAATCAGAATCCTTAGCCGGAGCAGAAGAGGTCCTGTGGAGGTCCAGCTCGGCAACAGGCAGGGAATGTCAATGTTCTTGTGAAACGTCGAGAATAAAGTAGACGTGTGTTATCTGGAAAGGAATGAAAGAGAAAAACAGAGTTGGAAGGGACCTTGGAGATCATGTAGTCCAACCCCTTGTTCAAACAAGGAACCCTGTAGCATTTCAGAGAAACATTTGTCGTTTCAATAAACTTCCAGTGATGGAGCATCCATAACTTCTGGAGGAACGCAGCCCCATGGTTCATTTTTCTCACTGTTAGGAAGTTTCTCCTTAGTTCTAGGTTGCTTCTTTCTTTCCAAAGTTTCCATCCGTTGCTTCTTGTCCTACCCTCAGGTGCTTTGGAAAATAAGTTGACCCCCTCCTCTTTGTGGCAGCCCCTCAAATATGGGAATATTGCTATCCTGTCTCCCCTCGTCCTTCTTTTCATTAAAGTAGACATACCCAATTCCTGCAACCGTTCTTCGTATGTTTTTGTCTCCAGTCCCCTCATCATCCTTGTTGGCTCTTCTCTGCACTCTTTCCAGAGTCTCAACATCCTTTGTTAAATATATATTTTTTTTAATATTGTAGGCTGACCCCGTTTTTCTTTTGGGCAGCCCTTCAAATAGCAAACACCGCTATTGTCTCACCCCCCAATGTTTTGAATTGAAATCATCCATGAAAATAATGAAAACCTAACTTTGCAGAGGTCGCTGCTGAGCTCAAACAAAGGAAGGTTTGATCAATAGAGCCTTGGTAGTACAGTGGTCTAAAGCACCCTGTTATTAAAACCAGCTGCCTGCAATTACTGCAGGTTCGAATCTTACCAGGCTCAAGGTTGACTCAGCCTTCCATCCTTTCTAAGGTAGGTAAAATGAGGACTCGGATTGTGGGGGCAATAAGCTGACTTTGTATAAATATACAAAAAGGATGAAGGCTATTGCTTAGCGCATTGTAAGCCGCCCTGAGTCTCCGGAGAAGGGCGGCATATAAATCAAATTAAAAAAAAATAAAAAATTAAACCGCAAATAGATAATCGGAATTTGGCATCTGATCTTACCTGTTGAGATCCTGGAAGCGTCTCACACTTCTGGATGCTTTTAAACGTCAAGCTACGTTTCTGCTTTAGACATATTGTTTTCAGCATAGTCACCTTAATATGGTATTCACGTAGCTTCCCATTTACCACCTGGATTTAAAAAGAAGTACACGGCTTTTTAATTCATTAGAAAACACGATCCGCTTCATATATAAATTTGAAGTAAAATTAAAAAATAAAATAAATTGGTTGCAACAATCCTCCCTATAGAAAACCCCCTAAGCTCCCTCCAGCATCACCCACCCACCCCCCGCAAACCTTTCTATTAAGAGCCCTTCTATTAACTCCAACTGCCAGGAGTTCGATCCTGACTGGCTCAACGGTGACTCAGCCTTCCGTCCTTCCAAGGTCGGTAAAACAAGGACCCAGATCGTTAGGGGCAAGAGGCTGAAAGAGGGCCGTAAGGCACTGTGAAGTAGTATATAAGTCTTGTGCTGTTGTTGTTGTTTTTTTATTTATTTATTTATTTATTTATTTTTTAATTTGATTTATATGCTGCCCTTCTCCGGAGACTCAGGGCGGCTTACAATGTGCTCAGCAATGTAAGGTAAGCTCAGCTTACCTTAAAAGGTAAGCAATGTGCTTACCTACCTACCTTCCTTCCTTTTTTTTTCCTTCCTTCCTTCCGTCGTTCCTTTCTCTCAGAATGCCATTTTGCAGGCTAATTCTGCCCACTGACAGCAGTTCGATCCTGACCCGCTCAAGTTTGACTCAACCTACTGTCCTTCCCATGAGGACCCAGATTGTTAGGGGCAAGAAGATTGCTGACTTTGGAAACAAGGTCCAAGGATCCAACTTAGGTTGCCCACCTACCCACCCACCCACCCCCCCCAACCTCCTGGCACACACCTGTTGCTCCGCTTGCACAACACGGAGCACCTTGAAATAGTTGAGGGTGTCACTTCTGCGGCGATTGTATTGCCGCACCAGGTTGGAGAGGGCTCTCTGCACCCCTGGATCAGTGACAGCCACCGTGGAAAGACCCGGAGTGGTCCCCAGGAGCATCTGTGGGAACAGCATCAAGAGGGCACCCAAGACGCAAAGGACCAGCATCCCGGAACGCACCATGGGGCTGGGGAGAGAGAGAGAGAGAGAGGGTTGCTGGGAGGCAGGGAAACAGAGCCAGCTCGACAGATTTGCCTTATATGTGCAAGGAGCCTCAGGTGGGAGCGGCGCTCACCTGCGCGGAGGCCACGCCCATTCTCCAAGAAGCCCCGCCCCACCCCCATGGCTGGATCGTCTCCGCTGCCCAAGTGCTCTCCGCCTCTGCGGGCTTTGGGTTCCCCTTCGGCCCAATTCTCCCCCCTAGTTGAGGTTAGGCTGAAGTCGGAAGGAGGGGGCAAGATAGTTGACTTACTACTCGGCACTCTGCTACACAATGCCATCACTCCTGCTAGTTGTGTATTTCCTGAGCAGGAGCCAAGGGCTATGGGTGGGGGGTGGGGGTTGGACTAGATGACCTCCAAGGTCCCTTCCAGCTCTCTTAATCTCTTAGCCCGGTTGTGTGTTTCCTAAGCAGAAGCCAAGGCTGCCTTTAGCCACCTGGACAATGAGGATGTGGGAAACCCACCCACCCCCACCCCGATTGTCGCCCCCTCCTCAAACCATGGAGAGGAAGCCCTTCCCCTCCTCTATGGCGGTTACTAAGCTTCTGCTCCTGCTAGTTTTTAAGCCGCTTTCAAGAAGAGACTGGGCTGCCCATCCGTCAGAAATGGTGTTAGATTCTCCTGCTTGGCTGGGGCGGCAGTGGGTTGGACTAGATGACCTCCAAGGTCCCTTCCATTAATCTGTTAGCCTGGTTGTGTGTTTCCTAAGCATAAGCCAAGGCTACCTTTAGCCACCTGGACAATGAGGATGTGGAGAACCCCACCCCAAACCAGGATTGTCACCCCCCCCCAAACCACAGAGAGGAAGCCCTCCCCCTCCTCTATGGCGGATACTAAGCGTCTGCTCCTGCTAGTTTTCAAGAAGCTTTCAAGAAGAGCCTGGAATGCCCATCCATCAGAAATGGTATTAGATTTTCCTGCTTGGCTGGGACGGCAGTGGGCTGGACTAGATGACCTACCAGGTCCCTTCCGTTATTCTATTACCCTAGTTGTGTGTTTTCTAAGCATAAGCCAAGGTTACTTTGAGACAGGTGGACAATGAGGAGTTGCCTCCCAACCCCCCCCGGATTTTCGCCCTCAAATGTCTGGAGAGCAAGACCCCTTCCCCCCCCCCTCCACCCCATGGAGAGTTTACAGCCAAGGGGTGTCTGGGCATCATTCTAAATAGATGTGGGGGGGGGGGGATATGGAGTTTGGGGGTGGGGGAGAGAGATCTAAAGAAGATAATCCGTGGACACATTTGAAGCAAGCGAGAGAGAGGTTTCAAGAAGGGAAATTTTGACTGCAAAGCAAAGCTGGTAAGAAACTCCCTTGATTAAGAGGATGAATTAAGAGGCGGCCTCCCAGGGGGAGAGCCTTCTCTGTGGGGGCACCTGCCATCTGGAATGAGCTCCCCCCCCCCCCGAGATATGGAGATCCCGGAGATACGGACCCCAGAGATATGGAGGATCCCGGATTTACGCACCTTCCGCCGTTCCCTCAAGACGGGGCTGGCGTGAACCCCCCCCCACTTTCTTAATCTTTTTTAGTTTTTTAGCTTTTAATTTGTCAATGGGTTTTAATTCGAATTGTTTTAAATTTGGGCCGAAGTATGTAATTCTTTTAATAATTTTAAATTTTGTATATGGTATGTGTTTTAGTTCTGGCTGTGCACCGCCCTGAGTCCACTAGGAGAAGGGCGGTATACAAATTGAATAAAATAAATAAATAAATAAATAAATAATTTTATTTATTTTTTATTTCAACAGGCTGGCCTGGCCTAAACTCTCCTTTTGATTGTAAATTTTTAAATTTTGTTTTAAAACCTTAGGGGTGTTTTAATTTGTTTTGGGCCAAATTATTGAATGGGTTTTATATTGTCTTTTAAATTGTGTGGTTTGTGTGTTTTATCTTTTGGGCTGTTCCCCGCCCCGAGTCCTTCGGGAGGAGGGCGGTAGATAAATCCAAAAATGAAATAAAATAAATGAATGAATGAATGGAATACAGAATAACAGAATTGGATGGGGCCTTGGAGGTCCTCTAGTCCAACCCCTACCTCAATGGGATTTGCATGGGACTTGTGTAATGCTAAGAGGGGGATGTTGCACACTAGGAATATGGCATCCGGTTTTGGTCACCATGATGTAAAAAAGATGTGGAGACTCTAGAAAGAGTGCAGAGAAGAGCAACCAAGAGGATTAGGGGACTAGAGGCTAAAACATGCGGAGAACGGTTGCAGGAACTGAGTTATGTCTAGTCTGATGAAAAGAAGGACCAGGGGTGACAGGATAGCAGTCTTCCAATATCTCAGGGGCTGCCCCAAAGAAGAAGGAGTCAACCTATCCTCCAAAGCACCTGAAGGCAGGAGAAGAAGCAACGGATGGAAACTAATCAAGGAGAGAAGCAGCCTAGAACTAAGGAGAAATTTCCTGATAGTTAGAACAATCAATCCGTGGAACAACCTGCCTCCAGAAGTTGTGAATGCTCCAACACTGGAAGTTTTTAAGAAGATGTTGGATAACCATTTGTCTGAAGTGGTGTAGGGTTTCCTGCCTAAGCAGGGGGTTGGACTAGAAGACCTCCAAGGTCCCTTCCAACTCGGTTATTCTATTCTATTCTATTCTATTCTATTCTATTCTGAATTCTATTCTATTCTATTCTATTCTATTCTATTCTGAATTCTATTCTATTCTATTCTATTCTATTCTATTCTGAATTCTATTCTATTCTATTCTATTCTATTCTATTCTATTCTATTCCATTCCATTCAGAATTCTTTTCTATTCTATTCTATTCTATTCTATTCTATTCTATTCTATTCTATTCTATTCCATTCTATTCCATTCCATTCAGAATTCTTTTCTATTCTATTCTATTCTTTTCTGTTCCGTTCCGTTCCATTCTATTCCATTCCATTCAGAATTCTATTCTATTCTATTCTATTCTATTCTATTCTATTCTATTCTATTCTATTCTATTCTATAGAATATTCTGTTCTGTTCTGTTCTGTTCCGTTCCGTTCCAGTTTTTAAAAGGATTTTAAGAAGAGATAGGACAGCCATTTGTTCAGAATGGAATAATATTCTCCTGCTAAAATAGGGGGATGGACTAGAAGCCTTGGTACTACAGTGGTTTAAAGCACCCTGTTATTAACACAGCTGCCTGCAATTTACTGCTGGTTCGAATCTCTCCAAGGCTCAAGGTTGACTCAGCCTTCCATCCTTTCTAAGGTAGGTTAAATGAGGACCCAGTTTGTGGGGGCAATAAGCTGACTTTGTATAAAATATACAAAAGGATGAAGGCTATTGCTTAGCGCACTGTAAGCCGCCCTGAGTCTCCGGAGAAGGGCGGCATATAAATCAAATTAAAAAAAAAAAAAGCCTCCAAGGTCCCTTCCAACTCCATTCTTAAAACACAATCTTCGTCAAGGACGAAATACAATGGAAGAGAATTGGGGTAGGGGGACAGGAGGCAGGTTTTTTTGGGTGGGTCTTCCCAGGGAGGATTTTTGGATTGTGGACAGAAAGGGCTGTTATCGTGGACCAAACGGCCATGACTTCTGCTGTTTGTATCTGAAACGGAAATTTTTCCTCTTGAACTGATGTTCTTGCTGCTCTCAAGGCATAAAGTGCTTTCCGGGTTGCAGCCGATGAAGCCGATCATGATTTGTAACTAATTAAAAGGTCCTGTACTTATTTTTAAATCCAGGTGGATAATAGGGATGAATACGATCTTAAGGTAGAGTTGGTGGAAACAAAATGTAAAAAGAAAACCAGTAAGACAAAGGTATATAAGAAGATCCAGCAATGTAAGCAACCTCCAGGGAATTAGCCGGTGAGATTAGATGCCAAGTTCCGATTATATATTTGTGGTTTAACTGATAAATTAAATCAAGTGATTTCCTGCCTTGTCTGAGCTCAGCAGCCGTCTCTGTAAAGGGGATTTTAATTATTTTCATGGACGACTTCAATTCAAAATATTAGGGGTGACATGATAGCGGTGTTTGCTATTTGAGGGGCTGCCCCAAAGAAAACTGCATTCTAAGAGGAAGGAAAGAAGGAAGGAAGGAAGGAAGGAAGGAAGGAAGGAAGGAAGGAAGGAAGGAAGGAAGGAAGGAAGGAAGGAAGGAAGGAAGGAATAATACTTAAACTTACATACTACTTTACAATGCTTTACAGCCCTCTCTAAGCAGTTTACAGAGTCAGCCTCTTGCCCCCCAACAACCTGGGTCCTCATTTTATCCATCTTAGAAGGATGGAAGGTTGAGTGACCCTTGAGCCAGTCAGGATCGAACTGTTGGCAGCTGGCAGAGTTAACCTGCAATGCTGCATTCTAACCACTGCGCCTCCAGGGCTCTTAATAGAAGGGGCGCTGGAGGGAGCTTGAGGGGTTTTTCTAAGAGAGGGATTGTTGTCGTGGCCCAAAAGCCCATGATTTCTGCTGTTCGTATCTGATATTGAAATATTTCCTCTTGAACTGATGCTCTTGCTGCTCTCAAGGCATAAAGTGCTTTCCGGGTTGCAACCGATGAAGCCGATCATGTTTTCTAATTAATTAAAAGGCCGTGTACTTATTTTTAAATTCAGGTAATTACTGGGGTCGAATACCATCATACTATGGAGTTGGTTGAAACAGAATATAAAAAGGAGACCGGTGAGAAAAGGATATATAAGAAGATGATCCAGGAATGTAAGCAACTTCCAGGGAATGAGGAGGTGAGATTGGATACCAAATTCTGATTATCTATTTGCAGTTTAATTGATCAAACCTGCCGTGTCTGAGCTCAGCAGCCACCTCTGCAAAGGAAGTTTTAATTATTTTCATGGACGATTTCAATTCAGAACAGTGAGGGGTGACATCCTAGCAATGTTCCAATATTTCAGGAGCTGCCTTTGGCTACACGAAGGACCCACCTGGCTGGGGAATTCTGGGAGCTGATGTCCAGACGTCTGGCTGGCAAAGCTGAGAAACTGCCC